TTAAATTTTCTTTACGTGTATGTCCACACATCTATCATAATATTCTCATCTTTGCTACTCTAACTTTATGCTTTTGCTATCCCATTAAAGCCAACATTTACTACTATATAACGTAGCCGATCTGATAGCGAATACAATAAAACTTTCCTTTAAGTTTATTAGACACCTTACAGTCACAAATAACTCCTCTTTTCTTTTCTTTTCTCCAATTAAACCACCCAACTTGAATCTTATATAAAATATCCCCACTAATTTCGCCATTATTTTAACTAATGGCTCCCAAATATTTAAACTTTTTCACTTGAAATATAATTTGATCTCCTAATTTTACTTCCAAATTACTATTGACTAGTCTCTTACCAAATTTACAATATAAATATTTCGTCTTACTCCTACTTAGATGGAAACCTTTTAACTCCAATGTCTTCCTCCATAACTTAAGTTTATAATTAATCTCTTCTTTTGTCTCTATTATAAAAACTATATTATCCGCGAAGAGCATACATTCGATATGTTTCGTCAAAACATTTAAGATCAGTTAACCAGATAAATGTAACACACCAAATTTTTTTTTTTTAAATAATTTAACTCAACCATAGTTGGGTTACAGCCACCCAACACATTCTTATATCAATAATTTTAATATAAAATATTTTATAATTGGCTTCAACTCACACACTATAACATTTCAGATAAATTTTTACCTCTTACATGCCATTAGGCTAAATCACATTTGTCCATCCTTATACTCCCAACAAGTAAACTAAATCACATTTGTCCATCCTTATACTCCAACAAGTAAAATAAGCAATTTAATCAATTTTCAACACAAGCCAGTTATTTGGCCTTATAATCATGCCATTTTAAACCAATCCAAAGTAAACCAAATATTAAAATTACAGTCATCCAAATTGTACTAAAATAGAAATAATTTGAAAGGCATGATTACATTTATATATTCATATAATTGACAATAAACAAAAAGCCCTAATATTGGCAATATAACACATTATAAATCATAAATTAAATACCCAAAAGAGACAGTGGATCTATACCACTAAGCCTCTGGGACTCTTCCACGTGTCACTCGTGGCTCTTCTCCTGAAAATTGTTAACCACATAATGAGATTCAAAAGTCCCAATAACCAAAGCCAATTTATGATAGTGTATACAAACAGTTAAGTGTGTGCTTACTAAGTGAGAATTAAAAATAATATAATTCTAACAAATATAGAAATATTACAATACACACAAACAACCATCCTTATATCCCTCCATTAACCTCGAGCCGTAGCCCTCACTTGGTGCTAAATTACCCCGGCCAAAGGTAGATTAGCCCGAGCCCTTACAAGCCACCTATTGAGCTCCAATAGGGGCGTACCACGTGGCACATAAATACAACAATAATAGCAAGTCTCCCAACACCTCCCACAATAATTAAACAATTTCATAATAATATTGCACAATTATATAATATTACAAAATTCATAATTTTCTCAATAATCACCCAATTAACATGAAGTAACACTAATCACAAATTAAAAGCATAGTTACCTTGTGGCTTTTTCAATAAATTATTCCTTAAAATTTCTCTCTCACCACAATCTTCACCAGTAATACAATCTACAAATAACATATTATTTATAAATATTAGTTTCAATTTTTGAAACTAATAAAATAATTCTAATAATAGAATTAAAAATATAAACATAATTTCTAATCTCAATCTTAATACAATCTATAGTTAATACTATTGAGTAAAATTTTAACTCCTCTTTTAATTATCAATAAACATTAATAATCTAAAAATCAACTTCGAAACTAATTTCTATTATCAAAATTTCTCTTTTATTTCATAAATTCGTACCTAAAATACCCAAAAAATTAAAAATTGAGTCTCTAGCTTAGAATCATAATCCTATAACCATAATAATTCATTTCTCATCCCAAATAATCATCTAAACCTCAATAAATCAACATATATTTTCAGATCTAGTTTAGAATTTGATCCATAAGCCACAAATTCAAAAATCATCAACAATTTATACTCTAGAATATTTATTATACTACTGACAACCTCAAAAGCCATATTTGTTCAACATAAATTCATCCCTCTTCTAGATCTTAAATTTTCTACCACGACAACAAACTCAGAAACCAAAGAAGAAGAATGACTAAGAAAAATTTTTAGAACACTTACTTAGTCTTGAAAAGTTTAAAATCACACCCTAAATATCCTATTAAAAACTCTTACCTTAAAAATTTAGATATTTCGCACCGGCGACTCGCGTTCTCTCTGCCTCAGCGCGCACGAAGGAATGAATGAAGAAATGAAGGAACAGGTGAGTTTTTATAAAAATTTAGTGGGTCCCACACATTTTTTTTATTATTTCTTCTTTTCTCTCTCTCCTTTTTTTTATTATTATATATACATAATGATTGTTGTGCGGCGGCCGAAAGCAATTTTCTTCTTCTTCTTCTTCTTCCCCCCTTTTTTTTAGTACGTTTTCCCTTTTTTTTATTATAATAATAATTTAATAATATTTTTTTATTATTTTTTTAATTATTTTTTTTATTTTTTTTTGAATTATATCCTAAGTTAGATTTAATAATCATCTCCTACTAATTTTCTTACCTCTAAGTATTATTTTTTTTAAATTTTCTATTAACCCAAATTAACTATTAAAATTTAAATTGGGATGTTACAATAAAGACTCAAAGATGATCCTTAATGTGGTCCAATCTTTATAAGAAAGTCCTTTATTAGACTATTAGACATTCTTATACTAGTTTTTATCCCCTCGTACATATCTTGTATAAATCCCCTTAATAGATAAATCGCCTCTATAGTCGATCTACTTGGCATAAAACAAATAGATTCTAAGAAATATTTGTCCCCAATTTCAACCTATGCTCAATTACTTTCTCTCACAATTTCATTGTATGACTTATTAGTTTAATTCCTCTATAATTAGTACAATTCTGAATATCCCCTTTATTTTTATGAATAGAAATTAATGTACTTCTCCTCCAGTCATCAAGCATTTTCTTGATCATAAAATCACATTAAATAGTTATTTAACCATCTAACCCCTTCCTCACCTAAACCATTTCACACTTCAATAGATATACAATTAGGTTCGTTGGCTCTATCATTTGCCATTTTCTTAAGAGCTTCCTTTACTTCTTTATCACGTATTATTTCAATAAAATGATAAATTTTATTCTCCTTTATGAGTCACTAAATCTTCCAAATTACTAGATGAACTCTCTTCATCATTGAAAAGTTTGGAAAAGTAAGTCTCCCATCTATTTTTCAATTTCATTATCAGTAACTAAAATTTTTCCTTCTTTATCATTATTACACCTTACCTGTTCTAGATCTCTTAATTTTCCCATCTGTTTTTAATTTCATCATCTATAACTAAAATTTTTTCCTCTTCATCTTTTACACACCTTACCTATTCTAGATCTCTTGATTTTCTTTCCTTACTTTTAGCAATCTTATAAATGTTTCGTTTCTCTTTCTTGTATCTCAAGACTCTTATAAAAATTTTTAAAAACTTTAGAACAACCTTCACTCACAGCTTTCTTAGTTTCCTTCTTAACTATACAATATCTTTCTTAATTTTTTTTATTGTTACACAAATGTATGGCTTTAAAACAATTCTTCTTATGTTTGATTTTATCATATACACTATTATTCCACCACCAAGACTCATTATCTCTTGAACCAAAATTATTTGATTCTCCTAAAACTACTTTTGCAACTTTCCTTATCTTTTTAGCCCTATCTTCTCACAAAATGTTAGCACTTCCCTAAGATTTCAAAATTCTTTGTCAAAAGATTCCGCTTAAAAATAAAAGGAGAATAAAAATTAATTCAAAATAAATTACACAATTGTCAAGTTGATTCCAACTTGGTCATAAACTTACAAAAAATTCCATTTGAATTTGAATATAATCTCACAAAATTAAATATTAAATTCAGGCTTAAGCTTATAAAGAATCCATTTGGTTTTCTTACTTTTTACGTTCAAAAAAAAATTTACTTTGACAAAGCTAAAAATTGTTTGAGTAAAATATTTTGTAAAAAAACACATCCTGAAAGTAATTCAAATAGTAGTTGAAAGTGAATTTCTGAAATATAATTATTTAAAACTTTTAAAAAGTGATTTAAAAAGTAGAATGTAATTTGACCATACTACCCCAAATTTATTTTTTTATTTTTTATTTAAAAAATGGTTAATCATTAAAAATAAATTATTATTTCAATAATAATAATAATTAGGCATTACATTTTAGCATTTTAAATTGAATAATTAATCATGTTAATTTTTAACATTAATGTATAATAAAAATTATAAGTCTTTATCACATTTTTTTAAAATTACAAATTAAAAAAACAAATAACTAAAGATCAAATTTTTAACATTATAGATTAAAATTTATGTTATTTAAAATTTTATCACATTTTTTAAATAATTCAAATATATTACATTTGTATAATAAAAAATACAAATCATCATAAATTAATATTTTTTTTATAATTGTACATTCAAAAGCACATTTTACTATCACAAATCAAACAACTTTCAATATACTAAATTGACTTTTAAAAAAATACATCCTAACAAAAATTTCGTTATAACAACTGACTTTTGCTAAAAACTGACTTCTTCAAATAAACTTTTGACAAATTAAAAACTAAACACACACAAAGTTGGGACAGATATTAACAACTCCATCCCAGTGATATTACATACCGATGCAACCCAATAACCCAGCAAACTTCCAATTATCAGCCGAAAGGGGAAAGTTTTTCATCTCAAGGAATAGATCAATCTGCTAAAAAGAAGGATCACTGCCAAGACATTAACCAGTAAAAATAATATTTTATCATTTGCTTTACAAATTAACATCTTATCAAGTCTCTCCATATCTGACGGCCTTGAATTTAATTATAAAGAGCAACTTAACTGAGGAAAATGACAATCTGGTACAGGAAGAATGAACATATCATTACAATGAGAAAATTATATATGTTCAAAACGCTACATGAGAATTATAAAATGTGAGCATCAAGGGTAGATAAGAATATGGAAATGAGAAACAGCAAACATATACCTGGGAATACAACATGGAACAAAGGAACAGATTAAGAGAAAAGCCAGTTTACACCCTTAATAGAACAAAGAAAAATGAGGAAAAAAGGTTCAACATGAACTGCAAGTGAAGTATCAGACAGGCTTCTAACTGTGATGATTTACCGGGACTGCACTCTAGCTCTGATTAATCCAAAGAAGCCACACCAAGCACCTTTCAAGTTAATTTCTCTTATCAGAACCCTTGAGATTGAGGTTGAACCATTTCTTTTTGCCTGATTTATCCTTGCCATCTGAGCTTCCATCTTCCACAGGGCTCTCAACTTTGGAATCCTCGCCCGCGATCTTGCTACTACTTCCATTGCTCAAATTACTACTATTCCCACTAACAGAGACAGACTTAGCAACAGTGAAGGAGGAATGGATAGTGTCTCTCAGTTTCAGAAGTTCATCCACCTGAATAAAAAGTTAAACTTAAAATGGTCAGAGAGTCCATTGAATCCCAATATGAGAAAAGCATACACAAAAGGTTTGAGCTAGAACCATACTATGATTGACAGAATTGAACGGAGAGTTCAACGTTGGAGAAGCCTTGAGATACATAACACACAGCATCCAAAAGCGTAAATTGCACTTACCTTCTATGTTGCCTTAGAAACTATAGTAAATACCATTTAAAAAAAAAAAAAGTATCTCTCATCATATCCTGTTTCATTTTCCACATAACACAAGTAATCTTGATACAGACTTCCATACAGGTGAAATCAGCTTATGGATGCATACTTGGGCTCTAAAACCAAGGGGAAGCTACGTGTAATATTAAAAAAATGGCTTAAACATCAGTAATTTAATCAGCATTTTATAATTTCTCATCACATTCGTTTATTACAGTATTTTTAATCTAAAAGCGCTAGAGAACACAATACAGAAAAACATAGAAGAAAATTCTGCTTTCTTCTTCTTTCTAGCATGAGTTACAGTCAAAACCCTACGACACCGAGCATGAGGTGCAAATGTGCTTCAAGTCTTTAAGATACCTCTCCATATCTTGTGAGAAGAGATTTGACCAAAGTTTTAGGATTCTACCAAAGTCCATAATCTTTTAGTCACAACGAAGGAAAAAAAAACTGTCAGCCTCTCGATGTACACTGGACTATTGGAGTTTCTTTTTGGCCAACACTGGATTATGGGAGTTATTTCTTTCTTCTTCCCCAGGGTAAGAAGACAATAGTTTCTCCAATTCAGCATAAAATCAGTTATTTATAACTGCTGCTTAATATGGTGCATTTCTTTTCACCAGGCCAAAGTAAATGGGATAGCAAAAATTAGAATAATCAACATGCTTAGTCACAACTCAATAGAACAAATATAGGGCTTGTTTGGTTTTGTTTTCTATTTTTATGTTCTTTAAACAATTCTGCAGAATAGTTTTCAGAACAAGTTTTGGAAACAAAAAAATGAAAAAAATCTGTTTCAATCATTATTTTGAAAAACATTTAAATTGGAGAAATAAAGGGTGAAAGAATAAATATTTTATTAACATATTTGTCATTAATGAAAGCATGATATTTTATGCCCTTTCTTTAGTTTTGGAGAACAAAAAGTAACATCTACAACATGTTCTGGTCTTTTAGTTCTTCAGAATAACTTCTAACCTTTTTGCTTTTCAGAACAAATAACAGAAAAAAACATTTTCAAACAGGTTTTTTCATTTTTTGTTTTCCAGAACAAAAAACTGTTATGAAAACAGGTAAAATGAATGCTAATGCATGCATACACAGAGAGGCTCTTGTATAGCAACAGTAGAAAGGGCACAATTACATACTGATTGTTTTTCTTGAGCATATCTTCGGTCACCTCTTGATAGCGTGCCAATGCCTGGAAAAGGTTTGAGAGATGATACATTGTGCCTTAATACATAGTTTGAAACATCAATAACTTAAGCTAGCAATAACCTTTCTGTATTCTGATTCAAATTGGCGCAAATCATTCCTCTTTCTAAGAATTTGAGCTTCAATGTCCTTAAGTTTTTGTGAAGTATCCTCATAAGATTTTGCACAAAGAGCCTCGACTCGATTGTATAGGCAGCAGTCTTAAAGAAGTTATCTCCTGGATAATATCAACTTCAATCAGTACAAAGTGTAAATGGTTTTACATGAATAAAAACCCCTAGTAAGGAAAAAGGAAATGATACAGAAATTATGCAGACCATAAACAGCAAATATGAGTGCCAGGCTTTAATTCTGAGACTTCACAAGGTTGAAGACCTTCCAACCTTTTGAAGAAAGCTGCTTCAGGATCCTTCGCCATAGCCAACTGAAAAAGACTACTGAAAGTAACCACTCACCATTCTCCAAACCCCCTCATAATGAAAAGCAAAGAGAGAAAAAAAAAAAAACAGAAAGAAAGGAAATGTCCTCGACATGTATACGTACTGCATTCACAGTTGAATCCATTCTGTATACTTGAAAATGTAAGAAATACATGCCAGCGGATGTCACCTTGCCAGTCTTCTCGCTATTCCTGTACAGATACATAAAGACAATCAATATCCACATAAATTCAATATCAAATAACTCAAGAACAATCAATTTAATTTCTAACCTTCCCTTATAACAGTAATCTAATTTAATTACATGAATAAGATTAGAATCATGATATTGAAACAAAGTAGAGAGCAAACCATCATAACAGAAAGCTTAAATATTTAATCACAGTTTAAACTACAGTTCATTGTATTGTTGAATGCTTCATTTGTTTTCCTGGAAAATAATTACAAATAAGGAGCATTTTGACTTAAATGCAGTTCCAAATATAGGCCCTTAAGTCCCATAATGAATTTCCATCTTGGAGTTCAATGGGGAATTAAGTGCCACTTTACTAACGCAACAATAAATAATGTATAGAACTGGACTTCCACAATGTTTTCAAAAGATGAGAGAAGTTTAGAGAAGGAAGAAATAATTCAAGAGTCAATGCAAATCACTTAGGACTTATGAAAAAAAATAGTGAGAGCAACAACTTAGAGCAAAAAGCAAGGGGCCAAACACATATACAATAGAATGACTCACTTATTGTGTCCTATAAAACTGACTCATTAGCCTCTATTAATACTAATACCACAAAGTAGCACGACCTAATCCAAAAAATTCACCCAATTGAGCATTTTTTTCGTACAGGAGACTATAAATGACTCCGGTGAGTTTGCCACCATAGAACTCAACAGTTACACCAACTTGTTCCACACTATATTTGGATTCCGCCCTTTGAAAAGGAACATTGGCTCTAACAATTCCATCCCAAACTACCAAAACAAGCAGAAATGTTTCAAAAAAAAAAAAAGTAGGCAAATGAAGCACAAAAAGTTCATGCCCCTCTTTGTCTCTAAAGATAGGGTGTCCTAACCACCCAACAGCTATTCCATCCCCATTGAACATTGGGTCCACTCTAAACAATCCCTGTTGCCAGATTATTGCCAATGTAATCATAAAAGGTTAATTTTTCAGGAATTTTAGACCAAGCTTCAAAACACACAGACATTTATACCCTTTGCTGAATTATTAATGTGTCAAGCAATGACTTATGATTTCAAGATGGAAATCTTCCTCTAGAATCATAATAATTAATTTCCTCCAAAAATGTTCTACCAGCACTTACTAGAATCATTCCCAGTAAAAACTATGATAACCACCTAGCTATAGCAGGAATAACTAAAGTTTGCCAATTAATATCAAGCAAGCTTAAGTCATTGCTCAGAGAACCAGAAATTTAGTAATGTTTAAATTTAAATTAATAAATATTTTTGAATTCTATATAAATAAGTTATGCTTTCATCTTTGCCTAAAAAGTTATACAACAAAATAATTGGTCAAATCAGAAGTAAAGATTAAAAACAACAAAGAATTTGAATGTATAGACTACCTGTAACGCCAAGCCATACCCACCATTTGCATCATGTTCAAAGTAGAGAAGCTGCAAAATCAGGTTTCCATGTTACAATTCAATACGGGGTTACCCAGTGCAAAATTGTGCAAAATTGTAAGACGCAGACAAACCAAAAGAGAAACCACTATTGCAGAGATATTATTTATACTTTGAATTTGCTTTGTGCAGTTGAAGTAACTCTCACTACAATCCCTTCCTCAGCTTGCTGCTCATTTATTGTCACACCAAAAAAATGAGCACATTGCTTCTCTACCTGCAGCAAATTGTGACATAAGTATAAGAAATACACACGAAGACTAGTTTTGCTCTTTCAACCTGAAGAAAGTATGAACCTTTCCACTAACTGACGTTCCAATAGGAAGGGGTCTAACTGTAACTGTGCCATTCAGGGCTTCTTCAAGAACATTTGCTGAAATGGTAGTCTTGATAGGGACACCCAGCTTGCTTTAATAAAAAAGACTAAAAAAATCAGAGCTAAACAAATTTGAAAATCCACCGATGATAAACTAAATATCAACCTGAATAATGCTGCAAACATTGTGTTAACAGTTCCAAGATTTGATAAATCGATTTCCATGTCCATGCTATCAGCATCAAGTGCCTACGATGAAAAGTTATAAACATCATAAGGAAATACATATAAAAGATTATGTAATTATAAAGAGGGAAAAAAATTCCAGTAATAAACAAATATAAATTAATGGCAAAGATCATTATCTATTAAGAATGCAGAATATAAATAAACAAAAGAAAATAATTGCCTACCGTCTGTAATGAATCATGCAGCATTGGTTTAAAATACTCATGCATGCAAATCAAAATTAGATCATGTGAAACCTTTTCAAGTTGTAAGTTCTTAAAATCACATCATATACTCAAAGGTCCAATCCCAAATCACAAGAACAGTAAAATACCCAAACAGCATGCCCTCTAAAAGAAATGTAGCTAACTAGTTAGAGCATTGGTCCTTTTTCTTTTCACAAGGGAAAGAAAGGGTAGAAGAGATATTAAATAAAGTCAACTCAATTGAGCTTCTATCATCATTTGTCTAAATTTCCTCTTATGTTCCCTCTTCAACTTTTTACCCTCCAAAGTCACCGGACTCTCACTTGTTATCTTAGAAAGCAGAATTGGAGAATTAAAATAAGACTTTTCTTGTCTCTATGTACAGCAATATAGCATTGGAGAACAAGAACAATAATGAAGCCGAGATATGGATTCAGATCCAAATGATGTGAAGAAAAGGACCTCAAATCCTGCACTGTCATACTGCCTTCTCTTCTCTGGATCAGATAAGATGTTGTAAGAATATGAAACCTCTTTAAATAGTTCTGATGCTTCAGGATTGTTAGCATTCTTGTCAGGGTGATACCTGTCACACGAATGGAGCTTATCACATTGTATATGAAATATATTAAAGATCCCACTCATCATCATCGTTTTAGTCATTCTTATCCAGAAAGCAACAGCATAAAGTCTTCAATGGTACAAGAACAGAATGCAATGAGCTCTGAAAAAAAAAAAAGAAAAGCATAACCATGTATGGCTCTAAATCTAGATGGTTTGTTCAGCAAGCCTCCCCCCATCCCCTTTGAGAAGGGAACTAAAGGAAGACTAAACAAGGCACTCAACTAAAGTAATTAGTCTTCCAATTCTATCAAGCATTTTACCTTGCAAATCCACCATGACAAATCAAAACTTGACAGACAAGCAGAAAATATCAATAAGCATAGGCTACATAGCTGCCATGAAGGACAACTTTAATAATTCTGCAAGATGCCACTTTTAGACCCAGGAACATTACCCTTAAATAACAATAGTGATTCTCTTTCTAGTGTATTCATACGAGAGTGTAAAGTTCCACCTTTAAGTGAATGCAAACTGCAATATGAAAGCCTCAACCCTGATATTAAAGAAAGAAGTCCACCCAAATTACAGATATGTCAATATATTACATCAAAAATTCATAGAGCAGGCCTCTTCTCTATGAACATTTTCCGGTGCGCTTATAAGGAAAAACACCGAATCCAGTGCAGATGAAATTAAGTAGCTAGAAAAGAAAGCAAGAATTGAGCGTTTGACTAACTCCAAAGAACATGCACTCTTTCTGGATACAAAAAGAACATGCACTCATAAGACCTGATAGTGCCTGTTAATTTATAAGAATAAACATGGAGTCTAAAGAAAGTAAGGGAAACAAAAACAATAGCTTTCACAACAAACAGAACCTCATGTATATATATTAAATAGAAGACAGAAAAGTAACGCCATCAAAATTGAAAGGCACTTGAGAGCGAGCAAAACGTACTTGAGAGCGAGCTTTCTGTAAGCCGTTTTTATTTCCTGATCATTTGCATCCTTTGACACTGACAATACCTCATAAGGGTCTCGTCGAATTGATGGGGTAGAAGGTCCATCGATCTTGGAACCCGTCCCCATTCCAGCCGTCGACCGCTCTTTTGCTTACAGAGCGGCTAATGAAAAAGTTTCCCCTTTTGTGTCCCGAAATTCAGTGTGTTATTACCTTCTTCAATCAATGAAATCTGCCACCAGTGGCTCAAACCGAAACCACCAAACCCAGAACCAAAAAACAGATGAAGACTCCCACAGTAGAAGAGACACGATTCAAAGCGTCATTGGGTCGCTAATACTTTCCTCGAAATGTCAAAAAGACGAAAACTGATCAGCTGATGAGGATTGAGATCTTGCCCAAGAAGTGAGGTCAAATTTATAACGGAAAAGAAAAGGTCGAGATTGGGGTTTTGAATTTACCAGACCCAGAAAGAGGAAGACCGTCTGCTGTAAACAAGGATATGCAACAGTACGACCACGACGCGAAAGTCCAGGAAAGCTTTGGTTTTTCAGTTTTTTCTTAAGAAAAATAAAATTATGCCGTTTAGGTTGTTTCTAGTATTTGATTTTCTCCAACCCTTCTACATATTTTGTCATTATCAACGCATGTCTTTCTGTCTAACAGGATTTATATATGATGGACAAAAATATTAATTAATAATTAAAAGTGTTTTAAAAAAAAGTCTATCTAATGGCCAAAAAAGTTTTCCTCCCGATTATTTTCATAGTTTTGGTGCTTTTGAGCCATTATACATTACATTATATGATATACATTATATTATTTTGCATGAAACTGAAAACAAATTGTCCAAAATTTGCAAATAATACAGCTCTCTTTAACTTTTAAATTGATTATCATTATCATTGTTGTTGTTTTCACTGTTAAGGATTTCATTGTAAAATGCGCTAGATGCATTTATTATTACCCTTAATTTGAAATGAGAGGAAATTAGAGACATTTTTCTTTCCAAATATAAATTTTTCTCTCTCTTTTATGTAAAAATTAGGGGAAAATAAAAGTGAAAAATATCCTTTTCCTTTAATCTTTTTTCATAAGTTTCTCACCTGTATGCAAAAGAAATTTTTTATTAAAAAAAAAAGCCAAATGAGTTATGGCCACCTTGATCTTCAAAACCTTACAGAACAATAAATCTTTCTCAATGAAGATTAATGTCGAAACCTATTTAATAAGTACGTTATCTCATTTTAAAAAACGGGAAACAAAAGTAAAGGGTTATTAAAATATTCCATGTTTCTTAACACAATTCATCCCATTTACGTTAATCTTTTTAATAGATCGTACCAAAAAAGATTAGCAATAATCATATATAATTCATGACATACTATTTCTTTTTTTTAAAAAAAAAAGGTATTGATCGAAGGAAAAGAATCAACAATGGTAATAATACTAATACTCACATAATAAGAGGAGGTCTGTACTCTTACTCCTAGGACCAGCCTTGCCCCTCAAATGAGGAATTTTTTTTTTTAATATAAAGCCACATTAAAACCATACAAGGTAACTAAGATCAAGTTATGCTGGAAGCCATAAAGCTTTTACAATCAATAAAGAGACTGTTCAATAAGCTAATATCAAAATTATCTATTGGTGCTTTGTGGCCCATAAGATTGATATATCTATTGGCTTTCCTTTAAACATTGTCAAAAGTGATCTCACAATCTTGCATGGTAAGATTTCTGATATTTTTAATAGTAACTGAGAGATGGTGGCTATGAAAGGAGTTGCATTCAATGAGAGATAAGCCTACATAGAATCCAAATAGACATTAACTTTGAGAATCTTATCATTCCAACAAAGATTTAGACCTTCCAATATTTCTATTAGTTCAACTACTATGCTTAATTAATAAGAGATTTTTGGAAAAACTTTTAATCCAATTGCCCTTATCATTGCTTATAAGACCACCACAAACAGCAACTACATTGAGGTTGACATAAGCACTAACATCTAGTTTGACCCATCTCGAATTAGGTGGATTGGATTAGTTACATGTCTGGTGTCAATTTTGCTTAGAAGATTCAATTTGGATTGAAGCTTCAAGTCATTGATGATCTATTGAGTGTAGGAGAAAGCAATGTCACTATTCAGGATAATATAAGTAAAGTAGACTTTTTTACATCTAGCTTTCCATATATTTCAGTAGGCTTGTACAAACATTTTCTATCAAGTAATCTTCTCGTAGACTAACTGCCAACTTTATTTTTAACATTTCAAATTATCCAATCTTACACAAAAAAAGAAAAGAAAGTATTATGCTTTGTAGGATTGACCAATTTTTTCCAAACCTCTTTAGCTTTCTTACAATTTTATAAAATATGAATGAAAGAATTAGGAGAGCTATAACTAAAAAGGGCAGGCATGTTGCTGAAGAGTGTCTCTATTAGAGGGTGTGGAGTTGATTTGGAGACAATTCCAAGCAACTTTTTAGAAAAAGTATATAATTTTTTTCATAAGTAGGTCATTTTCAAATTTTGGACCAGATATCTTAGTGTTCCTGAATCTATCCATAATTTTATAGGCAAATTTAGTAGAGAAATTGCCAATAGAAGAAGGCCTCCAAATAAGAATGTCCTCTTCACCATGTTGATTAGGACGTTGCATGAGAGCAATGTGTTTAACTATATCATGGTGGAAATATTGTTTTATAATATCAAAATTTCAACCACCAATAGTCTTGTAAAAATTCGAGACTCTAACATGAAAAATAGATTCAACATTATGAAATGCATGCTTCGTAAGGGAGTTAGGGAGAGAGGTCCAATTGTTATACCAAAAAGAAATTTGGTCTCCTTCCCAACTTTTCAACCAATGTGAGATATTAGTTTATCCCAAATTTTACATATGCTATTCCAAGTATATGAATAAGAGTTTAGTTTAACAACCAGGGATTGTGGGTTTGCTGTAATTGTGCTTGTCACGTGAGACTCGCACTCAAAGAAAATTTAATTTGGTAATGAGACCTTAATAGAGGTTCGTTGTGAACATAATATTTTGATTTTTAAGCTTTTTAAGGCTAAAATTCTTAATCTTTTTGTCAAAAGTAACACATTTTCAAGAAAGAAGGTAAGATTTTTTATTCTCATTAAAAAAATCCTAAAGAAAATTTCTAAAGGTTTTATCCAACTCAGACAAAACATTGTCAAGTATGAGTATAATTTGTATGGTTTATCTGGGAATCGCTGCAAGAATAAATTTTATGAGAATAGACTCCCCCGCAACTCAGTCAAATCAAGAATTTTTATTTCCAATAAGCATTGGTCATAGTTGTGTTTAACTACAATCATGTTTCGGTCATTTTTAATTTTTTTGGGAGAAACTAATAGCATAAATTTTTTGCCAATGTTTGATATAAAAGGACGGCATCAATTTTATTTATCCAAATGTAGTTTTTTGTGTTAGTTTTTTTTTTATTGAGAATAAAATATTTTTTTGATTTGGACTAGATTTTTTTAAAAAAGATCACTTCATTTTTTGACCCTTTAATGTATATAATGTGATTTGAGATTATTTTTAAGGAAGATATGAATAGTTATAGTGTGCTGTCAATACTTTTAAACCTATTCATACTTGGTTTAACCAAGTATAATGATGTTGCTTTATGATTATATTATTTTATTTTATTAACAATTTGACATATTGTACATTTATTTCTTATATATATATATATATATATATATATATAATATGTGTTTAATTTTATATGTATTTAAAAAATGTTTGCCATCAAATATTGACTTAGTTTATAAGCACTTAGCTCATATGTCATGAGGGCAATTCCTTTGGTGATGTACTCCCTCCAATTCTTATTATAAAATATTTTTAATTACTTCACTGAAATTAAGTAATAATAATTAACTCATTAAATATGTCTTAAAATAAAAAAAATCTAATTTTTCTCCCATTAAAAATTAAAAGAGAAAGGTCAGTGGTGTATGATAGTCATAAACTAAATTTATAATAAAATTAAAAAATATAATAAATAACCCTCTATACTTGTTATATTAAAAATTAAAGAATCTAAGTGCCTGTAATAGGGATCAAGATATTATTGATAGATCTATGTTGATGTGCCAGACTCAAGAAAAAAGGACTTTATATGCATTTTAAGGTAATGTTTGATATAAAAATATGATATGATATACTTTCTTTGAGCCACAGGTATTTTCTATCGAAAGTTTTCAATCCTTAAAAAAATTATAAGAGTTAAAAATAAAGCTTGATAAAATCATAAAAATTGATCATGTTGTCTCTCAGGTACTGAAGAAAAAATTTCAAAAAGATAGAATGATGTTTGTTTTTCAGATTTTTATAATTTCAATTTTTAGTGTAAAAAAATATAAAAAATTAAAAATAAAATTCAAGAAAATTATAAAAATAAAAAATTATATATATATTTTATTTTATCAAGGTGTGAAACTTTTTTAACTCTTTTAAAGAATTGACAAAACTTGATGAGATATGAATTCTGGAACTTCAACTTGAGGGCATTCATGCCCTTGCACGAGAACTCCAATTTCAGAACAGTCATTAGCAGCCTAACAGTAACAGGTACAAACTAAAGGATCATCCTCATCTAAAGCATGCGCCAATGGCTCATCTTTCCCTAACGGTCAACTGAAGACTCCGCCTGAACGTGGAGCGAAATCCAAATCATTCCGTTTGAGCCCACTCGGGCAGTTGTAGTCAGAACCTGATAACTCAACTACCTCTTTTTCTTTGCTCCTTCAACCTACTCTCAACACTGACGTCGATACTCTCTATCTACTCACTGCTCTATCTCTTCTCACTTACCCACCGAATCTTCCTAATCATCAGTTATTGTCTATGGCAATTCAAAAGCTTGCTTTGATCCTCAAAAACCCTCAAAACGACGAGGAGTTTCTGCTTGTGAAACAGTCTCGCCCGCCAAAGTTTGATCACCAAGAGTACGATTCTTACGTCGATTCTGATCTATGGGACTTGCCTTCCGCTCAATTGAACCCGCTGCAAGGAGAATCCGGATCTCAGAGTGTAGTGGATTTTGCGGACTCTCGTTCGGAGGAGATCGATTTGAAAGAATTCGACTTTCGCTCGGCTCTTAATCAGGTCGTGCTCTTGAGTATGCAATTTTTGTTTCCTATATCTTGAATTATTGTTGATGGTGAATTTTGTATTTTTGTTTTTTTCGGGTGCAGATTTTTGAGCGAATAGGCTTTGGGGAAATTGACAGGGGAGAGTGGAAATACTGTAAGTATGTGAAGGAACCTGCATTTGGGCCTGATTTGCCAATCCAAACGGTCTTCATCACGGGAGTATTGGCAGCCAAGGACAATGACTTGCGAGGTTAGGTCTGCATATAAGTTTGTTGTAGTTATCATAGACTATGGGCTTCTGATTGTATCATTAAGAAATTGCTTAATGGCCTTAAAGGCTGACACATATTTTTGGCTTATGCCTATTATGCTCCGAGATTGGTTCATCCTGCCTGTCTGCTGTGTTAATTTAGTTTTTTGGGAGAAATTCCAGTGAGAAATGATTTCATACATAAACACGTCATCATCTTTTAAGAAGAAGACTAACAGAGAAACCTAATGTTTGGCCTCTAGGGTGGCATTGTGTAACTTATATCCTTTTGCATCTGCTACCTGATTAATTTTCCTTTATTAGTAAACAGTGTTCTAATCACTGTCTCTCCTTTCACTATTTGTTGGATGATGCCACTATAGAAGTTTTATTTCTGATTGCATTCAAACGTTTTCTGTAATAAGATAACAACTTGAGTTTTATAGTATAGAACAAAAACAGAAGTCTTATTTAGCATTTGGCTGCGTATGATGAACTTCTCTGGTCTTGCAGAAAGCGGTTTAATGGGGGAATAATAAGATGGAAATATATGGGGATATAAAATGACAGGCAGGATTAGAGAAGAAATAGAGCAAAATGCTTGGTTGATACATTAGGAAAAGTTTGTGAGATATGGCACCCTTCATTGGTAATAGCAACGGATATGATGCTGATTTGGTTGGTTATGTCCAAAAGGAAGATAGGAAAGTATATCTGCCATGTGGAAGTTTTAGTCCAATGATAATGCCTTGTTATCACGACATTTATAACTGATGTTGGTAATTTAAATGCACTGTGACTTATTCAATCAGGGTCATTGTTTTCACTTCATTTATTTAAACTTCTTCTCTTTTGTTCTCTGCTTTTTACATATTATATTAGTTTGTTGTAAACTTGCAATAAAGTTTGTTCTTTTTTTAAAAAAACTAGTTTGTTGATGACAGATTGACTTATTCTGGAAATCATCATGCAGATATATATAAATGGATGTCTGTCCAGGGCTGTGTTAAGTGGCTTTTGGAAGTAAAACCATCTGGCAATCGTGTTGGACCATTGGTAGTTGTTGGTCTTATAAATGACTCATTGGGCTCTTCAAAGTGGAAAGTTCCTCCAACCATTAGTTATCAGGTTTCCTTTCTTTGAATTTTGTCTATTTTCATGATGTGGCATATACTGGACATTACAATATATATATATGCATATAAAACCAGTCGCGTAGTACAAGCCAGGCTTATTTCAAATGGCCGGCAAGTAACTCACGATTTCATCCTAAACAATTATGAGCTCAACCTCCCTCTGCAATGCATTCATCCTAAACAATTATCACTCATTTTTCTTTTTCTTTGGTGCTAAGTGCTAACATTGAGCAAAATCTTAATTGATAATGTGAGATTTAATGAATGGGTTTGCTGATTTTCAACCTCATCTATTGGTTTCCAAATGTGGAAACGCATATCCTTACATGCTTTTATAATGTTAAAGGGTTAACGATCTCATCCAGGACGATCTAGCTGATGAACGCACCACACGTAGTGCTAACATTGGGCAAGATTCAAGATTGACTGTACCACTGCAGTTTTATATTTATTTACAATGAACATGTTCAGAGGAAGTTCTGGCCATGAGCTCTTATTTTTTGATATTCTGATGCAAAATGAAGATTCATTCATTCATTCATTCATTCATAGGAGTATCCTCCTGGTCTTATACTTATACCTATGAGAAGCAGGACCCAAAAGCCTTTTCACACAACAAACCTAGTGGTATTTGCCCCAGAGTATATTCCAAGTGATTCTGCGGATAAAAGTTATATTGCATGTGGAGATGCTCTAATAGTTGATCCAGGGTGTCTATCACAGTTCCATGAAGAGGTAAAACGTTAAATTGGCTTTTATATGTGTATATATATATAAACTTGTGATGTATTCTTGCATGATATCTTGTTTTCAGGCTTTTGTCCAACTCCTATTCTAAAGTGATAAGGTTAATTATAGTTCTGTTTGATCGGATCATATTACAAACATTATTTGCAAGACTGATTGTTGCCCACTGGTCCTTGTGATTCTCCAAAACAAGAGAAAGTCTTCTATGCCTGTGTTTAGTTGACAACCTTTTCAAAGCTTGGATACCAGAAAATAGGACTGTTGAGACATTGAAAGTTTTTTGGGCGTTTCATTTCAGCTTATATGATCATATGCTAATATGAAATATGAATCCATTCCTCTCCCTGCAAATGGTGGCTGAGGTTTACATCATCTGTCTTTTGACTTCTTTTCTTCCCTTCAATGAAATCCTAACATATTAGTGGCTTAAATTATCAGCTCCTGAAAGTTGTTACCACTTTGCCAAGAAGATTGGTTGTCTTTGTCACTCATCACCACTATGATCATGTAGATGGTATGTTTTTGCTAAAAGTATGCTATCTTTATTCTATTCTCATTGGACATGAATAATCCTATAATGGATATTATTATTCGTGTAAACTCTTCCTGTTCTATTTTTTGTCATCTCTTATGCCAGGTCTCTCAGTTATCCAAAAGTGCAATCCTGATACCACTTTGTTAGCACATGAAAACACCATGCGTCGCATAAGCAGAGGTTGCAATGTTGAACCTTCTATTTCTGTTTTCTTTTCAGTAGATCGTGTGTAATTTCCTTTAAAGTTTGGTGATGAAATATAGGAATTAACATATTTTGAAGAAGCTTGCTATAAGAGGAAATCTATCTTAATTTTATATTTTAATACTTTTTGTTTTTACTCTATTTAGCAAGTGGGTTATTTTATCATTTCATGTATTAAATGGGCTGCAAGTGGATGTTTCCTTATATGGGAGGAAACCTCTACTTTATATATAGACGTTGCTTTTGTAACTTGGAGGTAGAATTGATGAATGAATGTTAAAAGCATTATGATTTTCTGAAAGCTCTTTCTCCCCCTTTAGTTCTGCGTCTCTCTTCTCTTCCCTCTCTTTGTCATTTTCAGTCACTTCTCTCTCTCTTTTCTCCTTCTCTGTTCTCGTTTCCCTCTCCCATCTAAGCCTCTGTTTCTGTTTCGTTTACCTTTTCCTATTCTGTTTGAATCAGTTTGATAGTGAGTGTGTTTGTTTTACATCATTAGGGCTTTGGAAGTATTAACTTAATAGCCATGCTACTAAATTTTTGAACATGTATTTATGTGACCATGTGAACTTCCAGATTTTTCCTCTTAATTATTTCTATTATGTTCCTCTATTATGGATTTGTAATTGGGAAAGAGAGAGAAAGGGAGATAATGAGAGAAAGAAAGAGTACAAAGAGAGACAGAGAAGAGTGGATGAGATTCTGGACTCAAATCATGTTCCATAATTCCAGATGATGATTACAATAGCCTTACTCCTTATGTTGCTGTTGGCCTGCTAGCATACCTAACTGCGTATTATACCCTGCACTTACTATCCAACTAACTCCTTATTATTATATTTTACACATCACTCTTAAATTCATTTTCTTAATCTTGCAAATTATGTGATTTTTGTAAGTTTTTCTGCCCTTGTTACCAAGTGAGATTTGGTGTCTTTTTTAGCTATTCAAGTTAATAAGTAATGATGCTTTTTATCAATCTCTTTCCCAAGTGTTTATGATTGTTATTGTTTGATTAAGATGATTATAGTTTTAAATTGTCTTTTGATTTTTGAACTCTCTAATGTGACATAGTGAAAACACAAAGTTCTTCATCCTGTAACTTTAGCATTGCATGATTACAGATGACTGGTCACTGAGCTATAGATCAGTTTCTGGAGATGAAGAAATTAACATTGGTGGTCAGACATTGAAAGTTATTTCTGCACCGGTATGATTGGAAGCAGTTTTGTGCTGTTCTCTTTCACATGCTCAATCAATTTTGATCCAAGGGTATAGCATGCCTGAGTGAAGCATTTTCTATTTTCTAGACCTGAATTTTTTATGAACATGATAAATTTTTTATGTATGACTAGGGAAGTTCTACTTCAGCTCTTTAATTTAAGAGTACATCACGTTGACCTCATATCTTTCTAAGAAAAATTTTTCTGTAAAAAATAATATCATGCACTATAAAATTTCTTCTATCTTCTAAGGAATATAACATTTTCTCTCATCCAGGGACATACCGATGGTCATATGGCACTACTTCATGTGAACACTCATTCATTAATTGTTGGTGATCATTGCGTAGGGTGAGATTCCATTGAATTCCAGGAAACATGACTAAGCAAAGGCTGAGGTCTAAGTATTTACATACGTGTGGACGTACAGTACAAGTTTCATTTTAATGTTTGTATGTATTTATGCATATTTCAGGGACATTTCCTACCAAAAAAAAACAAATAAATAAATAAAAGAAAAGAAAACTGCCCAAAAACATTTGTGCCTCATCTGAAACAATTTCTCAGTGGAAATTGTTCTACTTGTTGTAGAATGCATTTTTACAGCATTGCTTTTCTCAGTTTGGTGGGTGGAAGAAATTGTCTTTCGTTCTAGTTTGTTATAATTTTTAGTTGTGAGGGTGTTCAATAACCTTTGGGGACTTCCAGTATTTATATTTCTGGTTGAACAGAACTGATTATGATTTTGGAATCCTATACAATTACGGAATCAGACAAAATGTCAAAGGAGGGGGGGGAGGAAAAGAGGAAAAAGAAAAATCTGTGGGACAAGTCTATCATTTGTGTTCATATTGTTAATTTTGAAGTTTAAACTATCTAATTTGTATGCTTCCAGTGTGGTCACATTGTTTACTTGACGTTCTATCTGTCTGTCACTTATTAGCCTATCTTTTACCTTCCCCTTTTTAGTTTCAATTTCTTAGTTGATTTACTTTATCTTGTATGTCTTTTTAGTTAGCCTCTCAAACATAATGGCTTCTTTTGTTTCAGCCAGGGAAGTGCTATCTTGGACGTAAGTTCTGGTGGCAATATGACAGTATGTCAGACTGCCTCTATTCTTATTTATTATTTTTTATGTACTGCCAGTAAGAACGAGTCACTGCGTTGCTAGTTTGATCTCCACTAAAGTGTAAGGGTGGTGGCCAGTGGAGCAGGGGTGGGGAAGAAGATATTACTTAGTGGCTACAATTTTTAAATTAAATATTTTTTTCACAGCACTAAATTTCTTAAAGATACAATTCAGCCATTATTTTTCCAACAGTCACGTGTATTACATACACTTTATAATGTTCTCTATAACTAAAGAATATATAAATACTTGCACTTCTATTTATAAACATTTAGTTTATATATTATTGTGACATCCACTTCTTACTAATGATTATACTATGGAAGAATGACAGTTAGGTCATAGAATGTTAAATTGATGACAATTAGGTTCCTGACAAAATTATTTGAAAAATAAGTTGAAAATATTGATCCATAATTGCAAATTCAAGAGTTTCAGTTGTAAATACGTATTTATGTATTAAATGTAATCTTAAATTATAACAGAAATTTCTATTTGTAAATGTTGAAATTGATATTTACAGCTCATTTTTTTAGAAAATTTTGTCAGAGACCTAACTTTTATTAATTCAAACTTCTGGAACCTAACCATCATTTTCCCTTGTACTGTTGTGAACTTAATGCTTGCTTATCGCCATAGGCTATCTTTCCAATATAGCAAGACCCATCAGTTTGTTGAATGTCAAAAACTTATATTTCAGAGAACTTCAATTTACCACAACTTTGAACTTTATACAGACTGCATTTTTCACCAAAATTACAGTTATTGATGATGCTTTGCTTTAGCTTAATATATATTGTTATTTGCAGGAATACTTCAAAACCACTTACAAATTGCTTGAGCTCTCCCCAAATTCTTTAATACCAATGCATGGGAGAGTAAACCTTTGGCCAAAGCACATGCTATGTGGTTATCTAAAGTATGATTTATCAATCATCTTTAGCTTTGGTTTTGAGCGTTGCAGCGACTGAGGATTGGAATTATTATGTTTTTAATGTTAACCAAATTACTTTAGCTTGACAAATTTTTAATGCAGCAATTAAGGTCCATCTGTGAAGAATGCTATTTGGTGTTGCAGGAATCGTCGGAGCAGGGAAGCAAATATCTTGGCTGCAATTGAAGGTGGAGCAAGAACATTGTTTGACATTGTAGCAAATGTTTATTCTGATGTTGACCGGAGGGCCTGGATCCCTGCATCGTCAAACGTGAGGCTCCATGTGGATCATCTGGCCCAACAAGATAAGTTACCAAAGGTAATTATTTATTTCTTATTGCTACTAGCTAGGTGTTGTCACAGATTAATAGCTTTAGACATAACAAGAAGGGAAAATTCATGACTTCAGTAAATTCTAACAATTTGAGACCCCCTACAAAATTTAGGATTTCAGTCTTGCCCAACACTTGCTGTTGTATTGTTTCTTATGTATGGTACGCCACCCGGGTGTGGGTGAGAAAATGGGTTAGATGTCTGGTTCAAATTTTGGTGACAACTTCAAGTGTGCTTCATGTCCATGAAATCGCAATTTACTTGCGTCTTGATATATTTGTTCACCAAGCATGTATCGGTGATATGTTCCAGATTGAATAACGCGTCCTCAATTCTCTGAGACTGTGCAGGACTTTTCTCTAGAAACGTTCAATTCCAGTTTGGTTGCATTTGTTGACATGGTGGCAAAGCACTGATTGTCCAACTTACCACCCATTAGTCTCTTTCATTGTGTAGATGTATCTGCAAAATTCATTATTTGCATCGAAATGTCCCTTAGATAGAGAAACTCCCATGCTGTAATCATCAATGTAAAATATAAAATCTATAGCAGCTAGCATTATTCATGAGCGATGAATGGCATGACTTGTTTTTTAAACTGCATACAACACATGAAAAAACATGTTTAGTTGTACTGAAACTCTTGCATCAAGGATTGTGAAGCTTGGGTGAGTTGTTTTCTAACAGAACATACTGCATCTGCCTGCCTACATAGGATTTTTCGGTTCAGAAGTTCCAAAAAACCTGTAAGCTGCATTTTATTTCTCGCTGGATATTAGCCTACGCTACTGGTGGCTTCCATTTAGAGAAACCTTCATTTCTGATTACTGTGGCTATGGCTGTGGCTGTGGCTGGCTTTGCTGCGTTCTACTCAGTCAAAACGGAAGCTACCCAAGTTGAGAGTGTATGATCTGAGACCCTCAAGGCTTGAACTTGTCGGGTGTAAGGCTTATGCCACAAACTAGATCATGTTCTTCACTAGTAAAGTAATGAATGTGAAATACCATACATCTCATATAGCACCAAGCTACTACCATCCTTAGACCTCTTTGACTAAGATGAGTCAATTTCATAGGTTTAACTTCCATGGCAGTTCTCCTCTCCTCACCAGCTCAAGTGTAATTTTCACTAGAAAGTTTCAGTATTAGCTTATTTTTTCCCCCTTTGTCTTTTGAAAGAATCAATATGGGAAGTTTTGAAGAAAAATATTATTTTTCTCCGCTCCTCTATTTTGTTTATCAATTGCAGCAACTTTATTTTTGTTTTTAAAATTTATATGGACCTCCAGTGAAATTAAAAGTTACGTAACACAGACTTTCTCCCTATTTTTTAATATTTCATTTCTATTCACTAAACTTATAATTATAAACCATTAGTTATTGAATCACATATTTTAGATCGTCTTTATATAAATGCTGTCTTAAAAATGTTTTAAAATTTATTCAATCATATTTTAATTTTTTTTAGTAACGCGAGCTTATTTATATAACAATTTTTTGAAGTTAAATATAGGCTAAATAATATTTTAAACATCTTTGTAGAAAAAATTTAATGAATTGGAAATTTAATTAATATAATTTTTTTCTTAATTTAATTTCATTTAATTTTAATTTATTTTTTTGAAATATTTATTTAAATCATATTTTACTTAATTATTTAAAATTTTAAAATTAGAAAGTAGACAATTAGATTACGAAGATAAATTAATAATTCTAAATGTTTAATAAAAATTAAATTAATAAAATTAAACATTTTGTAATCTTTAGCGAAATAATTTTTAACAACATTAAAAATTGAATTAAAGTGATTTTTTTTAAAAAAATAAGAGATGAAGTGTACTCCCTCAGTTTAAAAATGTAAGTTATTTTTTAAGAAGTTAGGTATTCAAAAATATAAAGTGTTTTTAGTCTTTCAAGATGTAATTATTATCTTTTTTAAAAAAATATTCTATTGATAATGGCTTTATATTTATTGTAAGGTATTTAATAGAGATAAATATAAAAAAGTAGAGTTAGTTTAAAATAACTAACTATTTTATTAGGAGGTGAAATTTAATTAAAAATATTTTATATTTTTAAACAGAAAAATTATAAATTTAGAAAATTATTATATTTTATAGTGAATCCATCACCTAGCCAATTCAGTTTACGAGATAAATTCTTTGGGCTGTGATTTGGAAAAGCACCTCAATTTTGACATGAGACAACCCCTGAAATAACCTGGCACTACTAGGAGAGACAGGGGGACCAAGGAGGCTACGACCTCTCCTAATTTTTTATTTTTTTCTCAACAAAACGTAAGAGTTATATATATTTGACTCCACCAAATATATTTTATATGTATAACATATTCAATATTATACATAATATTTACTTTTCTTTTAACAAATATAAAACTAATAAATACAAAATTTTAGCATCTAAAAGTATGTGTCATATATAAATATAATATAATGTATATATTAGGAAATAGGAAAGTTTTCAATTTTAGTTGAGGGTATAATTGTAATAGATACATGTTTTGTTTGTTTGCATTTCACCTTTGAATACTATAATATACTTTTTTTTTTAATGTTTATAATTTTATTGTACAATTTGTGTTATAATTTGCAATTCCTTATATATATTTAATATATTGTGTAATTTGTTATATGATCTTATAGCTTTTTTTATTCATTATGATATTTTACATAATATAATTTATAATTTATATTTTCTTAAGATTGAAAGATGTCTAAAAAAAAATCTATTAACTTATTTTTCAAGTGAAAAGAGATAAATGATAAAAGAACACCATTTATTTTTAGTGTTAAAAATGTTATTAAATAACCTACAACGTCAACTATAGAACAATATATCCAACCACCTCCTTCCACATCTATGTAGATTGAACAAGAAGTTAACATTGACACTTTTATTATTTAAAATTAATAAATATGAACATAGCTAGCTTGATGTTAAAATATTTATGTTATGTTAGATTTTATTTTTCTTCAATTATAATATATGCTTTGGGATATTGATCTCCTTACTTAAAAATCCTACTCTGCCCCTACTCGACTGGTCGAGTTATAATTTTTGATTGACATAACCTCAAAATAATGTTGTTTTGGACTTAAAAAAATTAATTTTTTAATTTTTAAATCACTTACAATTCAATCTCTCAAATATAACTCCCTTGATCCTTCAATTACGATTTACAACAACTTAATCCCTCAATTTTTAATTTATTTATAATTCAGTCCTCATTTTTTATTTTTTTAAAAAATTATCCTTATTAAATAAGAAAAATATATTTAATGTTTATATTTTGTTTTAAAATATCTTCTTATTCTTTGAAGATTTAAACTAACATAAAAAAAAATTAATAAAAATTAAAAAATTGAATCATAAACTGAGTAAAAAATTAAGAGACTAAATTATTAATGAATTAAAATTTAAAAGAATGAATTGCAGTAACTCTTAAAAATTGAGTTATAAATCATTAATAATTGAAGGATTAAGGGATTAATTTTTATAAAAATAAAATAAAAATGTCTGAAAAAACCTCACTACCTTTACGTCAACGACGAGTCACTGTGAAACGCTTTGGTCCTTGCCGTTAATGCTCGACGCTTATCTCTCTATGACGCTGTCTCTAATAAAACCTTTGCTCTTCGTCGTCAACTTCGAGTGTCGCCGTCCGGCTTGATTGAAGCTTAAACTCCACGTCGTCGTCGAGTCTGCAAGGTTGTTTCCGTTGGCTTGCTGCTTCTCGCTGTCTGCACTTCGTCTTCCAAGTTTGTTTTCATCATCTTACTGCTTCGCCTTCAATCTGAAACGGTGGAGGGAGACTCACAAGACTCCATGGCTTCTGAATTTTTAGGCCAGAAGAGTCACGGGATGAAAAAAGGACACGTTTTTTTTTTTAATTATTTACAAGGCCAAGGTAAAATCGTAGAGACTAAAATTTAGTCTTATCTATAAAATTATGAAGTTTTTACAATTGTACGATGATATATTAAAAATTATAATATTAAAGATATTCTACAAAAGTCAATAAGTTAAAAAATCAGCACACCTATTTACTTATTTATGAACGTGGTCAAAAATAATCATTTAATCTCTTATAACAAAATTTTTGATTTTTTTAATAGTATTAGGATAAAAATAACTTTCAAAGTAAGTGTGATTAATAAGTGATAATGCCTTCATCAAATTAAAATAAATATTAACTTTTAATTATTTTATATTTCAGTAAAGACTTAGTTCATCAAAATTTTTTATAAATTTTGTACTTGATTAATATTTGAGATAAATTTTTTTAATCATCTCTTATGATCAGATATCTTCACATGCTGCAGCACGTTTGATGTTCAAAGATCAAAGGACACGTTTTCGAAGTGAAAAGGTGGGCCTTGGATTTAACAAAATCTAACATTTTATTTTATTTTGTTTTGGTTACTTGTAATGGGTTTTAGTTCTCTTTTCCATTTCCTGCACATCAGTTTTTGCTACTTCCCCACGCAAAGTCTGAAAGGCTGCTGCACGAAAGCCAATTGTTAGAGGTCTAGGCCAGAGATTTGATTAAAAAAATATTATATTTATATATTATTTATTGCACATATTATGATCTTTAAATATGTACTTTTTATATATATATTCCCAACCAATCAATATATAATAATTTTTTAAAAAATTTTATTCGATTAAAAATATAAATATTAAATAATTTTTAAAATTTAAATTCATTTGTAATTAATATTATTTTATTTATTATTATTTTTAAAAATCATACATTAAAATTTTAATTATTATATCAAAATTTTTATATAAAATATTTATAAAAATATAAAAAAAAGACATGAATTTTTAAGAATTAAATTTCAATTAATATTATTTATAAATTATAAATAATTAATTATAATTTATATATGATATTTAAAAAATATATTTTAAGTAGATATATCATTTATTTATGATTAATTTGTCTCTAATTTAATTTTTATTGAATGACTAACTCTTAAATTAATATTTTAATTTGTTTAATAATCAGTTCAATTTTCACTGCCTGGGAACGATTTACCACAAAGGCCATCCCCTTATACAAACAAAGTGTGACATGCCTAAACTAGCTGGCAAATAACAGAAATGTGATACTGACATATTAAAAAGAAAATCAACAGGAAAAACAAACGTGTCCCAAAACACTCGTATAAATAATTAAGGTTAAAATGTATAACAAATTTTTAAATTTTGAAACAGTTATATATAATCATACTCACATCTAAAAATTTAAAATTATCCCTCCTCATTTTTAATTTTATTTTTTAAAACTCTCTATTATTAATTATGTTATTTTTTATGAGGATTAAAATGTTATTCAACTAAAAAATATTATTAAATAAAAATATTATATTGTATAACTATTTATAATAATTTTTTTATATTTTTTTAGATAATTGAGGCATTGATGACAAAAAAAATATTATTATTATTGCATAAAAATTTTAAATATTTATGTTTATATTAATTTTATTCATGTTTTTTATTATTAATGGTGCATGATTTTATTATTTTAAAAGATAAATTTTTATTTATTTTTTATATTAGATTAATGCAATACATATGACTAAAATTTATCTAATATTTAAATATTTAAATCTTATTGTGTAAAATCATTATTATCAATGGTAATTTTATGAATATTTCATGAATACTTTTGATATTTTTGTTTTAATAACTGCATATCTTACGATTTGAATTTAAGATTGCATGATAAACTAATTCAACCTTATCAATCCTTTAAATCAAGTACCTCTCGGGATTTTTTTTTTGTGAAAGATATTTTTTATTCTTTAATTAATCATCCTTTAACCTTATCCATTTTCGCTGTCTATCTTGATGGTGCAAGTGGACTTAGCCTAATCATACTTCACCAGCACAGTCACATTTTTTCTTTATCACATATGACTTCCATCTGATTCCTTTACCAGCAGTGAAAATTAAATGAACTATTTAAAAATGAACATAAATTTGACATTAAATCATTATTTTGTTGTGGGGTTTAATTTAAACTATTTATTTTATTCAATATTTTCAATAAATTCAGCTTCTTAATTTTTCCCCATACAATTTCAAATTACCGGGTGCATTTTTCAACTCATGTATTTCTCAACTCACTTGTATATCCATAATTAAAAAATTAATATAATAATAATAATAATAAATATTAAGAAAAATAAAAAAACAATTAATTTTTACAAAAAAAAAAAAAACTTCATGTAAAGCCTAACCTGAATAGCTTAAACAGGATCAATTGGCTTTCAATAATAATAATAAGTGATTCGTGGGTGTTTCCATGGGCGTGAGGTGCCTCATTTTCCAAGTCATAGTCTTTGGGTTTAATTGTTAGAAAATGAAAAAAGCTTAGAGAAGACACAAGTCTTCATTTAATTAGCTTGCATGTGCCCTTAGTTGTCTGGGAAAGATACACATTTTGCCACACATCAACATTCATACTTGGTGTTCTATATTCTTTTATTTTTATTTTTATTGCCAACATCTAAATTTTCCATTTTAATAAAATAATGCATAGAAATTGATGTTCTACATTGATATTCGTGTTCCATATCCATGTTCTATGATACAAAATACGTTTAGAGAGAGAGAGAGAGAGAGAGAGAATGGGTTTCATAATAAAATATGAAAAGTTTGAATCTCACACGATTACATTTCCGCTCTAGGGAAAGGTCCCTGTAGATGTCTCATTACTTTGTTTACAGATTTTATAAAATGTGATTTATTATTTAGATATTTTATAAAATATGGTTTTCTTTATTTTTAATTTTATTGGTTTGAAAATTTAAACAAATATAATTATATATTTCACAAATGTTTCTTTTAAAGTAATTTTTTTATTAAAAAACTGGAAAAAAATTATTATAAATGAATTTGTTAAATCTTATATTTTTTTTGTTCTTTTCTCATTTTCTGTAATTTTTTGAATCATTACCTGTAATTTTTGAGTCTTTTTCTTTTAAATTTAGGTTTTTTTTATCATTTTCTGATTAATTAAAATTAAAGTTAACTTTTGATATTGACATGAGTTAGATTACATTCATTTTTAAAAGTTGGAAAAAAATATCATACAAAAGATGAGTTTAAAATTTCAGACACTCTTTAGTTTATAGTTTAGGAGTCAATTTGCTTATTTATTCAATAATAATTAATAATTTATAAAATTTATAGAAAATTATATAATTATTAAATTATAAATTATTAACTTGTTTTTTAAATTTCATATCATGCCAAAAAGAAAATGTCCATAAGAATACTCGTGTGAATGAAGGAATACGACTAGCTGGTTCTACAAAACCAAATGCTCTGTCGTAACACACAAACATCACCTCTCTGAAAAGTCCACATGTAACCCCCACCTCCTTTAATCCACATTAATCCTCCTTAATTTTTTTTAAACAGAATTTAATCTTCCTTAATTAAATTAACTTAATTCCATATAACTAAATATAATTTATTATTATTATTATCATTAAACACAAATAAAAATATTATTTCATATTTTAAATATTGCTTTTTATTTCAGTCCCCTGCCCTTTATCAGAGACGCGTTATGATCATATCCCGTTCCCTATTGGTTCTACAAAAACCAGCAAAGACCATCAGCATCTCTTGTAAGAAATTAATTTCCAAAGCTGTTAATTTTATTTTTTAATCACGTGAAATTATAAATTAAAAATATTCAGATTATCAACAAAATATTAAAAGTATTAAAAATGGGACTTAAAAATAGACATAAAGTCAGTCAGAAAGGGAGGGAGCCTCCTCCTTTCTTCCTTCAAAGCCATCACCAAACCAAACACATGGATTTGTCTTTCTCTGTACTTTTAAAACCTCTCTCCTCTTCTTCTTCTTTCTTTCTATCTCCTTGAAGCTTTCTTCAGTGCCCATCACATTTTAGATCCCTTCTCTTAATTGTCAATAGATATTTTCGTTACGAGAAGAAAAGTCTATTTATTTCTCAAAACGATTTTCTTCATATCTTCTCGTTCAAGATTTCTCATCCCTAAGGGAAAATAAAACAGCCATTGATAGATCATCCATCATCAGCCGCAAACCGACTCAGTCCAATAATTATAAACAAGAAAACCTCCTTCTAAAGTCTCTGAGATTCTTGCTTTTCTGATAACAGAATTCAAGAATTTTCATTCCTTTTCAGATACCCAGAAAAAGCATGAAGACGTCGTCAAATTCGCAATACTCGACATGCTCTGTTTCCAAACTTTTCCACCCGCAATTCCAAATCCTCCATTTTCTATCCTACTTTCTCCTGTTAGGCTGCGGAATAACTCTGGGAATCGTCCTAAGTTTCTATATCAAAGGTTGTAACTTCAGCCTGCAACTCACTCGTCTCGCAGTCTCTGAAATTCAATCACCTCCACAAAAGATTACACCAACACCAAGGCTTGAAATTTCTGGCGACACTCACGTGGGGTTGAAGAGCTATTTAAAGCCACCACCTGTGATGCACGACATGGATGATGAAGAGCTTCTATGGAGAGCTTCAATGGCGCCGAAGATCAAAGAGTATCCTTTCAATCGAACTCCTAAGGTGGCGTTCATGTTCCTGACGAGAGGTCCTGTGTTTCTAGCTCCGTTTTGGGAAGAGTTTTTCAAAGGCCATGAGAAGTATTACACAATTTACGTGCATTCGAATCCTTCTTACAATGGATCAGACCCTGAAAGTCCAGTGTTCCATGGTCGCAGAATTCCCAGTAAGGTTAGTTTGTTGTTCTGTTCCTTCCTTGCTCTGTTCGTTTATTTCAGAATTACTTAACCTGACTGGACTGTGAATAGGATTGATGAATCAATATTAGCTTTTGCTTCTTTAGAACAAATCAAGGGGTTTATATTTTTTACAGCATCATAATTATCTAAGTAATGTAATTTAGATGAAGAGTAGGGTCATTGCTTAATTAACAGAGAAGGCAGAGATGAAACAGAGCAAAATGGAAGGAGAGGGAGACATATGATTGTTTCATATGGAGAGCCTTTGAGTTGATTTTGGAGCAGTAAACAAGTGTTGGGTGTAAATTCATTCTGCTCCCCTTTCTTGACTTTCCTTTTCATTTTAATTTATATTTTTTAAAAAAAATAAATGATGGGCTTGTATTTTATATGAAATCCTTTTTTTTTTAACAAAATATGAAATCCTTCTTTTAATATAGTTTTTTTCATGAAATTTGAAATAAATTACATTACATAACTTGAGGAAAAATTTTATGTCTGTGCCTGGTTGAAAGGAAGGAAAGATTAAAAAAAAAATTGAAAGAGAAATGAGGTTAAAAGTTCTTAATTAATTTTTTAAACTTTTAATTAACATTTTCTCTTTATTAAATTTTATAATCCTACTCATTGAATTTTAAAAAATTGAAGTTACTACAATCTCCCTTCCCCTTCCATTCTCCACCATCCAAACAGGTCTTAGAGATTATAATTTATAAAACTAAAAAAAATTAAATTTTTATTTTTTAGAATCAAAATTTAATATAATTAAACAATCATGGAAATAAGTTATTATTAAAATTGTTTAACTTTATAGATTGATATTCCTGATCAAAGTATATGTTTTAGGCTTGTCATTATTCACAATTAAAATATTTTATTTTTCATATTTACAAGGTTGAATTATATATATATTTTTAAAATGATTCTGATAATTTATTTGATGCCCAAAACGCAGGAAGTGGAATGGGGAAGCGTGAACATGATCGAAGCGGAGCGTCGTTTACTAGCAAACGCGCTGCTCGACGTCTGGAACCAACGTTTCGTTCTGTTATCGGAATCCTGCATCCCACTCTTCAACTTCTCCACCGTCTACTCCTACCTCCTCAACTCCTCCTTCAGCCACGTCATGTCCTACGACGACCCCTCCCCGGTGGGCCGCGGCCGCTACAGGCCCCGCATGCTCCCTCTAGTCACCGTCGACAAGTGGCGGAAGGGCTCGCAGTGGTTCGAAATGGACCGTGAGCTCGCCCTCAGCGTCGTCTCCGACACGACCTACTTCCCGGTGTTCCAGGAATACTGTAAGCAGTCGTGTTACGCCGACGAACACTACCTGCCGACGTTCGTGAGCATGGAACACGGGGACAAGAACTCGAACCGGTCGTTGACGTGGGTGGACTGGTCAAAGGGTGGGCCCCATCCTGCGAGATTGACGAGGCTCGATGTCACCATCGAATTGCTGAAGACTCTGAGGAACACGACGTGCGAGTATAATGGCGTGGAGGATAGTAATGTGTGTTACCTGTTTGCGAGGAAGTTCTTGCCTGGCACGTTAATTAGACTTCTCAGATTTGGTCCCAAGGTTATGCAATTCTAATGAGGTTTAGAGTTACTACAGCTAACTTTATATTTATTTACAGAAGAAGCTTCGCAATTGTATATCAAACTTATGTATAAGGCCAATGTTTCATTTTTTATTCCTGAAAAAACGTAATCTTTTATCGTTATAGTTTCATCGAATTGTAATTTTAGTCTCTATAATTTTTTTTAACATTCTTAATTTCTATAATTTTAAAAAAATTGAGTGACATTTATTTTTCAGATCTTTATAGTTTTTTTTTGATAATTTTAATCTCTACACAAGGGCTGAAAACACTAAAAAAAATAATAGGAATTAAAAGCAAAATTTGATAAAATTATAAAGATCAAATATTATGTCTTTCTTTTATTCTTTCACATATTGCATAAGTTTGGAACCCATATATAGTAACTGATATGTCGTTAATAGCTCTATTTGAAGAAAATATCCCAGATTCAAGGTTTCCAAAATCGATCTAGTATTTGGCAATTTAGTAATTAGTGATGTATTTATAAGCATTTAGTAGCTTCTTTACGTTTTAAAAGACATGAAATACATTGCCATAGTTGCCAAAGCGTACAGAGATGTGTGTCGTGTTATGGGTGTGTACTTCCTCCGTTGACATGTATAAAAGAAAATATAAGTATTACACATTTTAAAAACATCAATTAACTATAATAATTACATTTGAAAATAAAAAATAGACAAAAACACTCTTATATTTAATTAAAATAAGATTGTATTAATTATGTTTTGTAAATAAAAATTATAAATTTATGAAAAATAATTTTAAAAGTTGTAATAAATGTTTATTGAATTATGAAATTTTGTTAAATACAAAAAAAATAATAATAAGTAATAGTTTCTTTTTTTTTACCTTTTTATACACAAGATAAAACCGAGTCCAAGCCTCCGTAAGATCTAAGTTGAATAATGTTTTTCCACAGTTGACGAGTGATCTCTCAGTCTCAGTCTCTATGGACATAGATAATGTCTTACAGTCCTCGCCGGCAACGAGAGCAGGTATCATCAATGCAAAGAGCCCACATTTTCCTCGCCCAACATTTGTAATTAAAACTGCCCCATAAGGTAAGCCATAAGAAAAAAAGCAACAAGTACTTCTTTTATTTTAAATTATAAAATATTTTTAAAAAAATTTATATATTAATAGACCTCATTAAATATACTTAACAACTTTATCTTTTTAAAATAAAAATATAAGCTTTTAAAAATATCCATCATTTAACATATTAAAAAAAGAGATAAAAATTAATTATAGAAAGAGAAAAGATAATATTAGAATTGATGCATTTATTAAAATTTTAATATACTCAAAGTGTCTTATATTTTGAGATAAAAAAACTCCTTCAAAAGTGTCATATAATTTGGGACGGAAGTAATAATAGTTTCTTTCATATATATAAAAATAGAGGGTATATGTAATTGTTATTTTCATTTTCCAAGTGGTAACAACTGACAACAACAACAATTTATTACATGACTTGTTTATTTTTAGGAAAAACATAACTTTATGTTTCTATACTTTGCTCGCATTTTGCTGTAAGTTTTTACGCTTTTTTTTTCTGTTTTAGATTTTTATACTTTTATTTTTTGATATTTTAAATCTCTATACTTTATTCATAGAGGGACTAGAACACTTAAAAACAAAAATATAAAGCCCTAAAACATAAAAAAAAAAAGTGTAGAAACTTATAACAAAATATAAACAAAGTGTAAAAATTTAAAATTATGTTTTCTCTTTATTTTATAAAGAAAAAGGCGAGAGCCTAGAATTGATATTTAAAGATTAGATCAATCAATTAAAATAAACAAACAATTCCAATGCTACACAATGGTCGTTGGCAAAAAATAATACTACATAATGGTTTAATTATAACTAAATCATCATTAAATATTTCTTAAATATATATATATATATATATATAATGATTTCAAATCGATAGTAATACATAAGATGCGATGCAAAGCCAAAAATCATATTTGAAATAAATACAAGAAATAATACACACACACATATGTATTTATATAACAATAAATCTATATAAATTTTCTATAAAGCCAAATAAATAAGAGGAATCTCTATCACAAAATAACAAACTTTTTATTCCCAAAAAAAAAAAACAAATAAAGGCAGTTTTGATGACCACCAGGCCCTTGGATCAATTGCGGTCAAAGATTGTTTTAGCTTAACGAGTAGTCTCAATTTGAATCTCTAGAAAAGTATTAGTGTTAAAATTCTATTGTAAAGCTTGCCACTCAATGTTAGATTCAAATTAATTTGGTCCTGTTAAATCCTTTTAGTTTGACGTGGAGCAGGCCAATTGGATGCGCCCACAATAAAATAAAGAAAAAAAAAGACAGCTTGATGGATTGAGAAGGGATAAGAGAGAATATTTACTACTTCACATTCATGAAAACCCAAATATGTAGTAAATCACAAATGACAAACCTCATGTAATCACATGACATAACATGCACACATCCAATCATACGATGTCAAGAGGCAGCTCACTAAAAATTGAAGAGACGAATTTGGTCAGTGATTTCATCTGGCAGCCCCCGTGTCACAAATTACTAATTAGACCAGCAAAAAGAGATATTTCAAATTTCTTTTTATTAATTAATTAATTATTTTTCTCCCAGTTAACAAGTTGCATTTGAATGTGTCTCTCTCACCCCCTCTCTCCACCCCACATTTTCCTGGTCAAAAACGGCATTTCAAAGAAGTCAAGCTCAAGAACACCAATCTACAACATGCTAATTGATTCATGATTGAACTAAATTTAATGATTCAATGAATATATATATATATATATATCATCCAACCCAGTCAACACCTTTTAGAAATAAATACCTTTCCTATTAAATTTCAATCCCCACCACCAGATTAACGAAACATATTCTATTCTACATGCCACAGTTACTGACTCGCTCCGCCGGCGTCTTCCGACAAGGATGGTGACTCGGACACTGAGTCAGACGCGTCATGGTGACCCGGCGACATCTCGACCCCACGGATGTCCTCAATCATCCTCACTACGTGGCTCATCCTGGGCCGTTGATCCGGTGCGGCTGCACAGCAAGACATTGCGATCTGAAGCAGGCCAACCATCTCCTCCTCAATATCCTTGTACCTCATCAGCTCTATATCGAACACCTCAGCAGTCCATTCTTCTCTCACCACTGACTGGACCCACCTGGGCAGGTCCACGGCCCCACCTCCTCCGGGCCCACCCGCATCCCCAACAGAGGGCCACTTCCCTGTGAGAAGCTCCAGCAGCAGAACGCCGAAGGAGTACACGTCGGACTTCTGCGTGTTTTTCCGACCGTCCAGTGCTTCCGGAGCACGATAGCCGTTGGATTTTGCAGCTGACGCTGACGTGGCAGGGGTTGCGAATACGGAGAGCCCGAAGTCTGCCACGCGTGCGTTCCCATCCTGGTCAATGAGGATGTTAGTGGATTTGATGTTACCGTGGGTGAGCTTAAGGGCCTTGCACGAGCCGTGAATAAACGCCAGGCCTCGACCCACTCCGGCAGCCATCTTGAGCCTCGTAGTCCAATCCAGTGGGGTTCTTCCGGGTCCTCGGTTTCCTGTCGGATATATACAAACCAAGTCACCCATTAATTTGTCTAGAATTACGCATTTGTCACTATTTTGGATCAAAGCACGCAGTACCAATATCAGTTCAAGGGCCCCACTTAAGCACTTTCTTGACGGAAAAAAACAAAAGGCAAAGTGGGAAGATAAAGACAATTGCTTTGTATTTTTTTTTTCCCCCCCTTAAAACGGCTGTGTGAAAAGCTTAAAAATATAGTGGTACAGTGATCCCAATCTTCTGCACATTGTAACAGTTCATTTGTTTGCAATATCTAGAAATTCTATAGTCTATTATAAAGTTAAAGAAATGAAAGAGGAAGAATCTCCTGATTTTCTGAATTCTGAAATTTGCATTTGTATTTGTACTATAAAAAGAAGAATACATCCATGGACCATGATGAACACATGATGGGCCCCACCCGTCCAGCTAGTTTGACACAGATACACTACATGAAGCCATGAAGGTATTGGACCATTGGGCATTGGGTAATTCCCGTTTGGCTGGCTACTTGGAAAAACCACAGAAATCAGAAACTATCGGATTGACTTTTTCTACAGAAATGTAGTATTTTATCAACATGGTCCAACCTAGCACAGTGTACAGTCTGTAAAGTAATAGTGTAACGATCAAAATTCCCAGATGGTTATATACAATCTAACAGTTCCTTTGTCTGCAAATTCCCAGAAATTGTAAGGAAGCAGAAGAACAACCATCTGCATCAGTCCTGATATCGTAACCCTCTATGCGTAATTAGGACCCACACAGTAAAGCACTCTTGAATTGTAAATTATAAATTAATGTAATGTTATAGTAACCACTTCTTTATCAGCTAAATAGAATAGGAGATTTCATGAAAGAACGTACCATGAAGGAGCCAAAACAAGCTACCATTGGTCATGTAATCATAGACCAGTAATCTCTCGTCTCGAGCGTAATAGTAAGCTCTCAAGCTTACAATATTTGGATGTCTTAACCTTCCCAGGACTTCCATGTGCTGTTCGAACTCTTTCTTCCCATTAATCTGAGCGTCCTTGAGCCTCTTCACGGCGACGACATTGCCGTCATCGAGAACAGCTTTATAGGCTGTCCCAAACCCACCTTTCCCCAACATTTCTGCTGAAGCTCGAAGCAAGTCTTCAAGTTCAAACTTCTTCATCCCTTCGAAGAACACCATTTGACCTCTTTCGAATCCGGGCTGGGATGATGGGTATGGGCTTGATGAGTACAAGATCTTCTCGCTTTCTAGAAGTTTCGACATGTTTTTCTCTTTCAATTTGGTGGAATAGTTTTGCCAGAAACAGCAGTACAGAAGAAGGGACACCACCGCCAGAACCAAAATGTCGCCGACTATAATGGCAATTAGAAGTATCGGACTCATCTTCGAAGCTCCGTTATGATGGTGACTGTTGTTGGGTGATGTTCCGGGGGCTGCATTGTTCGCTGGCGTTGAAGTTGAGGGATTGCTTCGGGGCATTAATGGCGATGCATTGTTGGCTCCCACAGATCCGGGTTTAATCGGTACGGCATAACTGTCCTTGCATTTGACCAATGGAGCTCCGCACAAGGATGGGTTTTGAGCAAACGATGATTCAGGGAAACCCGAGACTGGTTTGGGTATTTCGCCGGAGAAGCGGTTACCAGAGACATTGAAGTCCTGCAGATTGGAGAGGTTCAGAGTGGGAATGTGACCGGAGAACTGGTTGTCATTGAGACGGAGGGAGAGAAGGTGAGTCAGATTGTTGACCGTCGTCGGAATGTTCCCGGTCAAGTTGTTGTGAGACAGATCAAGGCGATACAAGCGGAGAAGCGAAGTAACCGTCACCGGAAACACACCGGAGAACTCATTGTGAGAAAGAAACAAAAGCTTCAGGGCTGTGAAATTAGACAGACTCGGAATGGGACCGGATAAGCGGTTTCGCTTCAGGCTCAGAACTCGAAGCTGAGTCAGAGAAGTTAACGGCTCGATGGAGCCATGGAGGTCAAGGTTTTCAAGAACGAGTCGCGAAACTCGATTCTTAAGGCACGAGACAAAGGCCCAGGTACAGGGATGGGTGGTGGAGTTCCAAGATGTGAGCTTGTTGTGCGTATCAGAAGCGGCTTTGAACGCCAAGAGGGCTTCTAAATCTTGGTTTACGGACGCTTCAGAAGGGAGAAGCGAATAAGAAGCAAAGAAGAAGAAAAGAAGAAGGAAACACGTAGAAGGAGGTGCGAGAATACCGCCATTGCTGCAGTTACAGAAGCAGAACAATGGAGGGGGAAGAAGGAGCGAGAGGAGCAAGGGAGTGAGAGAGACGAGGCCTTGTTTTTTGGAAACTGCAAAACAAAGAGCAATTAATGTGAGAATGAAGGGTCTAAAACGGCGACATAAGTCAAAGTTATGAGTACTAAATTACTAATAATTTTTTTTTTCCTTTGGAGAATGTGTTTTACATTAAATTAAATATTATCAAAGCTTGGCAGCTGCGGGAGGGAAGGAGAGGGAAGGGAACTGGGGAAGGGAGGCACAGAAATTCTGCCAAAAAGATTTGCAGAGAACAGGAACAGAAGGTGGAATGTTTTGTATTTGCATTTTGCAGGGAAGATGGAAACACCCAATTTTTAATTAAAATCAATTAATTATTTTTAAAATTAGTAAATTACACATTAACTTGGTCTTTCCATATCTACCTTATTTATTGGGGGTTTAAATTAAAAAAATATTATTAATTACACTTCTAATTAAGAATATTATTAAACATTTGAGAAAATATAAATTTGGGTTCCTGCACTTTTTAAGCATTTTGTTATAGATTTTTATATTTTTTTTCAATATTTTAAATCCCTATATTTTTATTTTTTAATATTCTAAGTCCCTCTAAGGTCTCTATACTTATTCATTTAGGGACATGAAACTTGAAAAATAAAAGTGTAGGGACCTAAAATATAAAAAAATATATAGAGACCTATAAAAAACACAAGCAAAGTGTAAAAATCCAAAGTTGTGTTTTTCCTAAAAAAATTATTAATTATTTTTTAAAAAATCTAAAATGATTTATATTTTTAACATAATATTTAAAAATTTATTTGTAGATCGGGTGCATTATATCATTTGTGGTTTATTCAGTTAAAATATTTCAAGTAATCTAAATAAAATATTGTGTGATATTTTTTAATTAATTTTATTTTTATAACAGAATACATATTTAATTTTTTCCTTTTAGCCCTCCATTATCATTACTGTTAGAATTAATTTATATTAAATACCTTGTAAATATTATGTTTTTATTGAATAGATTACAAACAACGTGGTACACTTGAATTATTTAAATATTTTTCTAATCAGTTGAGGGAGTAGCAATAACTAATTTTTTTAGGTTTATTTATATAGAATATTAACAGCTAAGAAAAAAATTGTCAATAATTATTAACTTAATTGAAGCTTATGTAATGTTATTTAAATGTACTTTTCATGCCCAAAAAATCTTTCATGTGCGCCTCATTAGCATCCTTCTTTACTTGCCTCACATTGGGGTGAGGAAGCTTAATGGGAGTGCAAACTAATTTGAATCAAATTGAAACAGACTCTTCTAAGTATAATTTCATTTAATTAGTGTTTCACATATTATGATAATAATTGTCTGATAGCTATAAGAAATTTTATTATATAATACTCAAAAAATATTAAATTTTAAATTTTTAGAGGGTATAACATAAATGAGGAGTGTTCTAATTAAAAAAATTGTTTTAATTTTTTGAAAAAAAATTTAATTATTATAATTGAAATACTCATTGAGTTAGTAGACTTAGGTTATTTATCAAATTTAAATCCTTAGATATTACTCCCTCCTATCTCTATTATAAAGTGCACTTTAGAAGGATTAAAAGTTTATTACATTTTTAGATAAAATTAGTTATTTAAATACCTTTCCTTAATTCTAGTAAGACAATAGAGATAAAAGAACTAAATCATTTTTTATATGCTTCATGTTCTCACAACATAATTAAAAAGCTGAGGAACATCTTCAGTTAAGTTTCACGATATCTCACACTAAATTTAACTATTATACCTCTCAGATGCACATGCTGCTATCTTTTCGGTTTTAGACAAAAATGCTGCACCTCTGGACACTGGTTAAAGGAAAGAGAGAGAAAGAAGGGTAAAAAAGTACTGCTCCAAGAAAAAAAGACAAAAAAAAAAAGAAAAAAAGAACAGAGAATCCGAGATTGTTTTCTAGAACTTGTGAAATTGGGCTTCCAAACAAGACATTGCAATCTCAGCTTAACCCCCCAGTTCATTAAACATGTCCAGAAAAATTATGAACTCTGTGATTTCTAAGCCCAAAACTTTAAGCCTGTCATTTTGTAGTCCAGCACCCTGGCATTGACCCAAAAAGTAGAGTTTCCAACATTTGCATCAATTATTGCATCCAAAGCCTTGTCGTGTGATACAACTTGCAGGTTTGATCCTTGCCCGCAAACGTTCAGCTTGTGTCCCAAAAAATAAAAACTATTACACACAAATTCCATTATGTTAAAACTTAAGAACTAAGTGAGATAGAATGGAAGCTGCTGGAGATAATATCATTTACGACACTCCTTGAGAGAGTTGTTGGAGGCAAAGAAAGAACAGGCAACTGTGGTAATTCCAATGATTCCAAGTCTCCTTCCATCATATCCACCACCTTGTTCATCGCTGGCCGATTCAAAGGATCAATTTGTATGCACCATAAGCTCACTATCACTATCTTCTTCATCACTTCTCTATCCTTCTCATTCTTGATGCACTGCAATCTCAACTCCTGGTTTGCTTTCAGACGCTGGTGCATCCAGTGGGGCATGAATATTTCACTTGAACCTTCAACTTCCATGTTCATATTCTTCCTTCCTCCCACTATTTCTAACATCATCATTCCATAGCTGTAAACATCGGATTTATGAGACACCCCCCCAAAGTTTCTAGAAAACACTTCAGGCGCTATGTATCCTGCCGTTCCTCTTGCTCCTAACAACGATACAATACTGTCTTTCTTCGGGCAGATTTTTGCGAGTCCAAAGTCTGATATCTTAGGACAGAAATCGTCATCAAGCAATATATTGTGAGGCTTGATGTCCAAATGCAAGATTCTAGTGTTGCAACCTCTGTGCAGATACTCTAATCCACGAGCAACGCCAACGGCAATATTGTACATAGCTTTGCAAGTCAGCTGGAGATTGAGCTTTGATGGATCTTTCTGTTCATGAATGTACTTGTCAATAGATCCATTAGACATGTACTCATATATCAGAGCTCTTTTAGAACCCTCCAAACAAAAGCCCAGTAAGCTAACGATGTTGACATGAGAAGTCACGCTTATGCTGGAAACTTCATTGATGAATTCTTCGCCATCACCGTTTAGCTCAGTTAATACCTTCACAGCCACAAGAGTTCCATCGCTTAGCTTCCCTTTGTAGACACTGCCAAATCCTCCTTGACCCAACTTGTTTCTGAAGGAGTTTGTGGCCTTCTTGACCTCCATATAATTGTACCTTTTGGCTGTAAGGTGTCCATGTTCTTCAAGAAACTTCTCAATCAATAAGTGGGTAGGGTTTGGTTTGTTGTAAAAGCGTCTTCTCAAGAAGAAACCCAAAACCAAAAGTATTCCTAGTGCTCCAGAAACTGAAACTGATCGTAAGAAAAAGAAAATATATCAGTAGCTTTGATATGAGTATCTTTGCTTTTTATAGAGTAAATTAAGGTTACTTAATTACCTGCTATAACTACACGCCTGTCCTTTCTGGTTTTCTCTGCAAAACCAGAAACAAAAAGAAAAATACCATAAGAAGACATAGCCACAACAATTTAACTTGTTTGAAGAAAATACGTGTAGTACCTTTGGCACAATAAAACCTTCCCTTGAGGTCCTGTCGACATTGTCCTCCTTCAATGTAGTAACAACTAGAACAATCTGGGGATAAATCTATATCGATGGTAATCTCACCAGATAAGAAATCAAAAGGGCTCTTGTCCTGGAAATCAGGTTTCACAATCGCAGTGGTGTTTGAGATTGGAAGCTGAAGAGTTTTACAAGATTTGAAAAAGCTCCGGCCCTCATCATCATCAGAAGATGAATTTTTATAAAAGATAATTTCTTCAGAGCAGGAATTGAACATAGAGTATGATTCCGGGGGATCCAGATTGACGGTGTTGTTTTTGCAATTGAACAAGTTTACTTTATATTTCAAAGAATAAGAAGCAAAACTAGAATTTGAACTAAAAGGGAGAGAATGGTTGAAGACATTACAGCTATGTGACAGTAAAAAGTCGTGGAGATCATCGTCTCTGATGGTAAAGGAAGTCTGGTTGAGTTCGACAACATCAAACCATTTTTCATTGTACTTGATGGTTTTTTTGGTATTTGGGTCATTATCACCACAGCCAAGAATGATCAATAAGCCACAATCTGGGTGATCTGAGCTCGTGAAAGGGAAATGAATTTCCTCTCCTAGATTTCCACAGTTAACTGAAAGTGGGCATTTTTCAGCTCCAACCAAGAAGAGCTGCAAGATGAATGAAGGTAAGAGAAAGCAAAACACTTTAACTGAAACCATTCTGATGAACATATTCAGGAAGAAGGATCGGTATTATAGGAAGCTTGAAAACACTGGGAAAATTGATTCCAGTCCTTTTTTTCTAAGAGAAGATAGGTGAGTAAGGCCGACCCATTTTTTTTACCCATTTTTTTTTAAAAAAAAACCTGGAAATCTGGGAAGCTTCCAAGCTTGTTCTTGCGTTGGAAATTACTTTCTTTGACTTGTTGAAAAGTATTTGTTGACCTGGAATTTGTCATTCGAATTATCAAAGGAAAGATGATTGCACTTTGACTTAGTTTTTATGGTTTGCATAAGTCATACACAATGTTTTAATATTAAACGGAAAGATTAGTGAGTCTCAATTTTTATTTTTTGATATAGCAAAAAAAAAAAATTTATTGTCTAACCTAGACTGTAGGTGAAACTAATAATGTAATAATTAAATAAAAATAATATTTAATGTATATATAATATATATATATATATAAAAAGAAATAAATTCATAATATGTTTAATTATTAATAAAATAACATATTATGAACATAAATCAATAATTTTATAAATTATAATTTTATAACTTTTCAAATAATCCTTCTAAATTATAATATAAGTCATAATTAATTAATTTATGATTTATGAATAATGTTAGTTGAAAAATTAAATTCTTAAAAATGTCCATATCTTTTCATTTGTATTTTTATTAAATACTTTATATAAGAGCCTTGATAATAGTAATTAAAATTTTAATGTATATCTTTTTCAAAAAGAGTAATAAATAAAGTAAAAGTATAATTGAAAAATAAATATAAAAGTTATACAATTTCTTATATTTTGGGTTAAGCAAGATGTTTAGAAGATGTTTTATATTATAATTCAGGGAATCAGTTTCGGTGCTAAGCAGTGGGATGAGTATATGGAGCTCATCTTTAACGCACTGTTTAAATAAAGAAACAAACAATCTTGACCATTTATTATATTTTAATCTTAACCGTTGATTTATTAACTATATTTTCACCTTATCAGTTGAAGGCTCCCAATGATATTAGCGTTCCCTTCTCCACTTCCCAAAACTTGTTCAGTCGGTGTTCATCATTTCCCCAATATATGGCTCATTTCTTTTTCTTCTTTATTGGCTAAGAGGCTTATCTCATCAGATTTGGTTCAACAGGTCCGGCGCTTGAAGGTATTAGATTTGGTTAGACATCTAAGCCCCCATCAGCGTGGCTGTGCTTGGACGTTGCATGAAAGCATTAGATCTACAGCTATCACATGATTTTTCTAATTTCCTATTTGGATGCTAGTGTTTTTCTACTGCAGCATATGAAAAATTAGATTTCTATTTCCTATTTGAGTTTTTATAGACATAAGGATATAGAGAAGTGAGAGGAGTGAGAGTAGTGATTGGTGTAAGGGAGTTGAAGAAGGTGAGAGAAGTGAGACAAAACATCTTGAAAGAAAGTCCAAACACTAAGGTTGCAGTGTTGGAAATTGATCTCAAGTCTTTTGCTTTGTATAGAGATTTTGTTTTGAGTTTTTGGCTCTACATCTTCCACTTAATATCCTCATGTGATTACATTTGTGATACATAGGTATGAAATAATTTGATTAATCTCACCTTTTCTCTGAATTTTTTTTTTGAAAAGGAAATCATTCTAAAAGAGAGAATATGTTTAACAAAAACAATGCTGGAATATTCTCTCAAAACTTGGAGGTACCTGAAGAGAAAATTAAGATGACATTTGCCACCAATTACTTGGGTACTTTCAAGTTATTGCCTCTCCCTACAGATATATTTATTTGTTTATAACTTTTTAGTTTTCTTTGATGATCACCATGGTATCTTATATGTTTTAGACTTATCAATTATTCTCCAATTCGCCCCTACCAGTGGCAAAGCCTACTGATGCTAGTTTGATTTCTTTCTCTTCCTATCCTCAAAGCAAATAGTTATTTATTCATAGCACTATTCTTGATACCTATCTCTTGGCATTTGATACATGCTTGACCTGCCAAGTTTTACCTAATGATATGTTGGAGTTTTTGGATGCACCTGTTCCATATGTAGTGAGTATCCTATTTTTCCTTACTATGTGACTTGAGGGATTGTTTTGCATTTGGTTATACATGCTCCACGCTCGCCCTTGTTCATGTCCTATGCAGGATATGTCTTTTGGAACTTGCAAAACTTGTATTACTTTTCATAAAATGGAAAAATATAGTTGAGATTTGAGAGACTAGGCTCCTCAAGAGAGCACGTACCTTTCAATTTAGTTTCAACTTTTTTTGTATCTTGGTTAGTTCTATTGAAGGTATCCACTTCTGACATCTAACTAGCTGAAGAATTAATTAATAATTTAGGTGAGGCAGGATAGGCAAGTTATCAAAATATGTACAATGCAAGATAGGCAAGGTAAAGAACATGTCTTAAGCATCTAATTGGAAATGATTTTTAATTTAAAATACTTTGATTCAATTTTTATGATTTTATCATCACATTTCCTAATATATGACATAGGCAGTTCCCCCTTTTAGAGAGCTAAAGATGTGATGTTAATGTAATGTTTGATAACTTGGAAATTGCATGCAGCAATTCAGCCACATTACTTAAGGATGTGCCTTGCAGTTTCATTTTCAATTGCCATACTTGACTTTCACGTGTCACTATTCTCTAATATAAAAATTATATGTTGAAACACATAATCCAAAATGAAGATTAAAGAATTTATTTCTTATATGATGACTGAAAGCTTTGATTCTGTTTCAATCTACTACTTCTGTGTTGACAATATTTGGCAGAATTGCTTTACAAAAGGTCCAAAAGATGTCAAGCTTGCAAAATCAATATGCTGAATTGTTCCAGATGTTCCAGAATTGTTCACAGAAAATATCCATAGTTGTTCCAGAATTGCTTTACAAAAGGTCCAAAAGATGTCCAGCTTGCAAAATCAATATGCTGAAAAGGACAAAGAATATATAATTTATTAGTGTCCAGTTTACAGAACAAAGGATGTTCTCAATGCTTGAAGTGCAACATGCAGTACGCAGAATGCTGAATATGTTTGTGTCTAAATTGATGTACACAGTATGCTGAAAAGAGTAGAGAATATAGTTGCAGAGATTGTATTAAATGATGTAAAAGTGTCATTTTATACCTAAATTGTCTTAGATTGACCCAAATGGTTCAATCTTGAGTATGTAAATGCTATAAATTATGTGCCTAACAGGCTATTGCTATAAATTGTATATGACATTATTGAAATGAATAAAATGTTATTTTGATATAAATTGTGTGCATTTATTTTTTTATTCATTACCTTGTGAGTAGTTTGCCATAAAATCTATGGCTTCAAGTGAAGGAACTTCATTGCCTTGTGCCATCAACAAGCTTGTAAATGACAATGGTTATGATGTAGATGGTACAAAAATATGCTATGCTAGAGCAACTTGGGTTGATGCTTGTGTTTGTGCAGGTTGTATTGAAACTTGAATTTGTGTACCTTTCATTTGATCAGCTTCTCTTCTTCTTTTTGATGATGAGGCCTGTTGAGAATCCTATAAAAAATAAATACAAAATAAATAATAACTTCTTTTGGTGTTATATATTAATTAAATTTCAATACCTTTAATACAACTCTTCTTCTCTTTTTAAATTCTTCTCTTCCCATCCTTTCCAACATCTCTTTCTTCATTTTGCATCTCTTTTTTTTTTGAATCCCTTTGGCATATTTTGTGACTCTATAACTGGTTTAAAAATATCATTTTCATTGCCATCAGGTATCTCATTTTTTAACTCAATGATACATCTCGGAACATGAGTAAATCCTTTCGGAGTCTTAGCTGTCTTTGTTGCCAATCTTGCCATCTTAATCATTAGCTGTCTATACCTTTATGTGATGTCAGGTCTAGGATTTACTTGTTTCTCATTTCCTCTAACACCATGTACAACATCATTCCTTGCTTTTTTGGTCTACCTCTTGAGAATGTATTGCTCAAGCATAATTCTCACATCTTTGGACTTATATACTTTTAATGCATGACAACATAATATGCCTGTGGTCTCAAACTTTCGACAAATGCAACAAATTTCACATGTGTCAGGACTAAACTCAATTCTCCATTTCCCCTCTTCATCTATCATATGGGCCATGTACATAAACAATGGTTCTTTCTCATCACGTTCAACTAACTTCACAAAAAATTAGAGGTCCCATTGTTCTTGAAACATGTCAAAGACAATGGGACTATAAGATTGCATAAGTTGATGCAATATAAGTGTACTTTGATTAACCATTCTAGGTATCTTTTGTTGAGATTTAAACTCAAGTTGTACTCCCTTATATCACTTCTTTGCTACAACTTTGTCAAACCTCTTGAAAAATCAATTAATGTTTAATTTTGACTTTGTACACCTCTTTACATCAACGTTCACACTTTCATTAATTTGTGTGCTTCTCATGCCTAATGTGATAGCATCCTTCATATAACACCTAGCCCATTTCTCTTTAATATTATAAGTAGGCTTCAACCACCCATTTTCATGGATATTATAAGCAGATAATAATTCGCTCCACGCTTCTTCAAACCTGTCCACTTTAACATAATCAAACATGCACTTCTTGAAGTCAGTTAAAAAGTGTGAACCATCTTTCATCAAATTCCCAAGGTGTTTAATGCCATTTTGCAATAAATTCCAAGTGCACAAACAATGCCTTGTATTAAGAAGCACTTCACTCAATGCTCCAACCATAGCTTGATCTTGGTCAGTAAACACAGTTTGAGGCTTGTTTTAAGTGTGAGCATCTAAAAAGGTTTCTAGTAGCCACTTGAAAGATTCAATGGTCTTATCATATAATAATGCTGCTCTAAAAATGACCACACTTCTATGATAATTAAAGCTAGAAAAAAGAGCAAGGGGTTGATGATTCTTGTTTGTAGTGTATATAGTGTCTAGTGACACAACCTCACCAAAATGTGCATAGTCTATTACCATACGAGAATCTGCCCAAAACACATTGGTAATTTGTTGTTCATTGTCCAATTGATATTGTGATAAAATGCAGGTTTCTGGCCAACTTGTTTATGAAAATATTCAAGTAGATATCCCACCTCTCCAAACTTTATATGTCTTCATCTCTTATACATCAAGTAGTTTTTTGCATCTGTCATAGTATAACTAAGACTTACTTGACCACTTACATGTGTACTCATTAAGTCAAAAGCATCCTTAGGTTCAAGTCTAGATTCTTCTGCAAGATCCATTTCATGAACTTGAGCTTTTGATAAATTTCTCCGTGACGGTAACAAATGCATTGTTTCCGGTGTAAGAAGAGGGTGATTATGTTCTTCATTGAACTTAGTGATTTTGAACTTTTGATCAACATGAGATGCAATCATTCTTGCTTTGCACTTGGTTCTTGTCTTCGGTTGATATCTAGAAGAGGTTGTCTCTCTTTTATCTTTTTTTTGAACACCCTCCCTACAACATACATATCTATATGTGATAAGGGAACCATCTTTTTTACTCTTTGTTCCATTGTACTTTCTAACTCCAAACCCAATTTTATTCCCATATTCATTCCAAAAATTCCATGCTTCATTCAAATTCTCAAACTCCCTCCCTATTTCAAGTTTCAATTCCTCTTCCACTATCTGATTCCTATATACAAAAAAAATGTACTTTTTAAAAATTATCATCACATAAATGTAAAAGAGTATGATAATATATACGAGCTAAAGCAACAATTCCTTTTTTTTTTTCTATTAATCTTAAATATATAATACTTGTGTAAAAATTAGGTTAAAATACTCTAAATCATTTTGCAATGCAAAGTGAATGGGTTAGCAGCAAAAATTAATTTATATAAAATTGAAATAGTGTGTTTGTCGAAGAGAGAATTGAAATATAAAGCTAAAGCCACATAATAGAGGTTCATTAAATATAAAAAAAATATAATTCTTTGAGCTTTTTCTAAGCATTTGAATATAATTTTTTAAGCATGTGAAAAAAAACTGGAATCCATCATCACCATTAACATATATAAATTTTAGTTTATATAGATAGATATATAATTTTTTTGCCAAAATATATAGATATATAATTGAATAAAATAAAATAAAAAAGATTGCACCTTTCAATCTCCAATGCTCACAAAAGAGATGTATTAGACTTTTTCAACTAGTCCTCCTTCATTTGCACTGAAAGTTAATGTCGAAGATCATATTTCAAGCTCCTTCTTGATAGATCAATTTCAAGCTCCTTCTTGATAGAAAGTCAACACCTTTCACCCTTTCAAAATGCCAATCACTCAGCTTTCATGCCAAGTTTTTTAGTTACAAATTATTTATTTTAAAGGAGCCTTGTAGACGATGTGTTTTGAAATAATGCACAATTGAATCTCCATCAAGTTTTTAGTCAAAATGGTACGTTTTGGAGATGAGCTCCTCCTGCTCATCTTAGCGCTTAGCACCGAAACCGAACCCATAATTCAGAGGAAGTATATGTGGATCTTGTTAAATTAAGCATGAGTAGACTAGTATATACTTTTATACCTAAAATTGTCAAGATCTTCTTAAGAAAATAGTCCTAAATAATATTATATGCAAGTGGTAAAGGATCTAAAAATAAAACTCGCTTTTAGTGGACTCTAAAAGTATCTTGGCTCTTTTGATTGATATATCAAATTTATAGAAATGGAGTAGTTATTTTCTATTCTATTTTAATAATAGCTAATCCAAAATGATCATTTCCCAAACACATAATAGTCATTAAGGGTGAATATGTCATTTTATTGAAAATTAAAATGTCAACAAGTTTTTAAGGACTAGGTAATAATTATTATATTTTGAGGTATTTAATTATCATTTGTATATTTTGGGTACTTTTTTTTGGTCATTTTCCATTATTGTATTTGTCTTTTGAAATAATTTTTTTATAGTACATGTATTGTCAGAATTTCAAAATAATATTTAATAACAATTTTCCTATTTTATCGTTGAAGTAATTTACTATTTTTAAAAATTAATTATTTAGCCTCTCTTTTGATCCAATTTCTAAACTTCAATACAATTGAATTCTAATAATTTTTACTCAATTGAAATCCATTCTCTAAAACTCATTGTAATTTGATCCTTATAATTTTAACAATCTAAAATTTTACTCTATAAGTTTCTCAAATAATTTTAATTTTCTCAAATACAGGATCAAGTTTTAAAAAAGTTAAAATTATAAAAATTGAATTACATCGAATCAAAGTTCAAAAATTAAATTTTTAAATGAGTTAAAATTATAAAGAATGAGTTATATGTCAAGGTTTAGAGCTTGAGTTTTAACTAAATTAAAACTACAGAGATTAAATAATTAACTTTTCTTACTACCCATTTATCATTGGAATATTTTTAGAGATGTTAAAGGAAATAAATTTGGCAAATTACGTCATATTTTACTTACTTATTATATCTCTAAACATGTAGTATGCAATAACCTTAAAGGACACGTATAATTGAATATATATATATATATATATATATAACTTTCAATATTTGATTTAGATTTAAAAATTATAAATTGAAAAGTAGGGAAAGAATAAAAAAGAAGATGAAAGGTCTAATATTTTCTGTTCAATTTATAAATCACTCTACTCCTACCATATTTTATCAAAATTAAGAGTTGTATTTAAAAAATTAATAAATTTTCAACCTTACTATATTAAATTAAATATACATACTATTCATTTCTCTAACATTTAATGATAAAAATATAATGACATAACTTATAAATAAAATTAAAAACATATTTCTTCTGTTCAAAAATATAAGATATTTTTTAAGAAGTTAAATTATAAAAAAATATAAGACATTTTTTATTTTTTGAAGTGTAATCATTATTTTTTTAAAAAAATATTCCTACTAATAAATGATTTTATATTTGTTGTAAGGTGATTAATAAGGATAAATATAAAAAGATAAAATTAATTTAAAAATAAATAATTACTTTATTAAAGGATAAAATTTAATTAAAAATATTTTTTTTTTAACAGAAGGAATATTTTTCTTCTCACCTTATAAATATCTCGAGAGGCAAGTCGTCCAAATAAAAATGTACGAAATAGAATGGAGGATTCCATTTTCGTCGCTTCCTTGCAGGACACCGCCAAAGAGGAAAATGGAAAAGTGCAGATCAGCAAAAGAAAACAGCCGTCATTGGAAAAACATAATTATAACTCTTTATAATTTACTTTATACTGTAAGTTCAAGCACTTTTTTTTTTTTTACATTTTAGATTCTTATTTATTTTTTAATATTTTAAATCTCTTTAAAATTCCTGCACTTTGTGTTTAAAGATATATAAAACATCAAAAAACAAAAATATAAAAACCTAAAACATTAAAAAAAATATATAAAAACATATAGTAAAACACGAATAAAATACAGTAATTTAAAATTATATTTTTTTTTTTATAGACACTCAATGTAACTGTATAATACATTTCTAAGCAACTTCAATTCTGTTGAAGATTAAGTACCTCCAAACTTCAACTTAAAGATTCCAAGTTTTCACTGATAAAAAAAAGTTGAAAGCGCTTTGCTGATACCTGAAAACCCAGTACCAGGTTCCCCGAGAGCCTTTGCTACTAAAAATGCAGTGCCCATCTTACATTATTTTGTGAACATTAGATGCACATCTGTTGCCGCATGACATGACAGTGATCGATGATCATCAACTAATTACTTGATCTATGAACAAATATGACTGCTACAAAAAACGAATAATAAAGGCAGCGTAAAGAATAGGGATAAATAAACCAATTAAGCAACCTATGAGACTTTGATTCCACTAGGACGCTTCCCTTCCATGGCATCCTTCTTATCGCGACAACCAGCGCATAGAAAAGGACCTTGCCAGGGCTTCGAGCTGGTCGAGAAGATTGAACCGGCATGAACAGAGATGCCCTCACTTGGGGCAAGATCCACTTGGCACACAGCGCAGATAAAGAGACCTGATGTTGATTTCCCTGTATTCTCATCATTACCTAATCTGCATGAAATAACCAGACAAGTGTCCAATATATTATGAGAAACTACTAAAACAAATACAGCCTTGAGAGTTTAGCAAAAGTAATCCAGCAGAGGAAAAAGAAGGTAAACTAAATCTTCATAGTAGTTTGGATATGGTGCCACAAAAATGAAATATGGTAGCTTTGTTATGTGGGTTTCTATTTTCCAATTGGAATAACGAATAAGCAAACAGTTGTCCACTTTTTGTATGTTCAGATGCAATCCTTGAGAGAAGATAAGAAAAAGGAATTCATTAAAAAGAAATCTTTAGGCGTTCCAAGGAAATCAAATCAAACCAAACCCTAGTAAGTTATCCATATTCCATGGCTCTTTTGCTTTATTGACAAAGAAAACTTGAAATGACAGCCTCTATAGAAGAACTTCATTAGTCAGTTAATCTTAATTTTGACCACCAGAACTATACAAATTATTATGAACTAAACTCTATTTTTTCTCATATTTGAACGAAGTTAATGAATAAGAGAAATTGTAAGCAACTCTTCACCCTCTACTTTAAGCAGCAACAATCAATATGAAGGGCACATGAGATTTTTGTATGTCAGTGAATTAGTGAATTGAAAATATTTCCGACAAAAGAGAGGCGTCACCTTTCAGCAAGCATGGCTGATCCTTCTTCAAACAGTTCCTCCACTATATTTACAGCTGAGAGCTTCTTTGATAGCTTTCCAGCAGCATCACGAGACTTCTTCCTGAAAAGCAGAGCCCTTAACTTGTTCTTCTTTTTTGGGGGAGGCGGCGGTGGCATTGCAGTTTCAGGAGGAATTATGTCAACGACTATGCAAGTTGTGTCATCCTTTAACCCTCTTGTTCTCAATGCTTCCTGAATAAGAGGAAGGACATGTAGAGACTTCAGCTTATATGAGATGAGATGTTAATATTGTTGTGCATGAAGTTAGAAGGCAAGAAGGAATTTTGATTTAAATTTAAACAGAACCAGCAGGAAGCATAGTAACGTACATACCTTGACAACCTGCCTAGCAGCAAGTTCAGCTGGCAAACCCCTGCAAGATTTTGCAGCCATGTCTGAGGATAAAGCATCCCAGATGCCATCAGAAGCAATTATAAGCCTCCCGCCAGCATTTGATAGCTATAATAAATCAAGAAGGTCAGATTCATCATGAAGACAGATGTGGACATAACATTACATAAGGTTTATGGTTAAAACTGTACGTAGAAGGGAGTATCTAGAATCAAGTTATACCTTCACTTGTTTGACATATGGTATAGGAACTATAAACTCCCCAACATCCATGTCTCCAATTGACCTAGAAAGGCACAAACCGCCTGGCCAACAACGAAGGGGACCAATCTACAATCAATTAACACTACAGTTAAAAAGAATCATGAAAGAATGGTAAAAAAAAAGAAAAAATGAGCTTTCTGTTCCTAATTTATCTCTTTTCAAGAAGGCAAGGGTGGTAATCTGAGATGCTATGCTCACCTCTGCACCACCAACAATGCTCAGCCTCCCAACTTCACCTCCACTAGCTGTAACACGTTCCCTCCTGTAAGACCAGTGTAGTGATTTGCGATTACCACGTGAATAAAGGAATGGTTTAACAACAAAGCTTTAGAATTAGATACATACTCTTCGATATTCTCTTCAAGTCGGTGATCAACAGTTAAGTTTGTAACAGCTCCACCTTGGGTGTCTAATATACAACGGGAATCACCAACAGATGCAACAGTCACAGTCCATCTATCCACTATCACAAACGTGGCTGTAGTTCCAGAAGTTTCTCCTGGAAAAAACCAGATAAGAGCGCACATATAATTAGTGAAGAACAAAGGTCAAAATCCTCCTACTTTCTGCATATTAAATGCTTCCTCTACATGAATTCTTTATTGGAAAAAAAAATGCTAAATTCTACACCTCTGCTCTGGAATTCCTTGTCAGTCTTCACAAACCCAGCCACTAAGGCCCGAGGTAAGGCCTGAAGCCACTCTTCCCGTCCAAGACCTCGAGGAACAGCACTCAACACATGATTTAACAATTGCTCCCTACTGAAAATGGCCGCAGCATTTCCGTTGTGTCCATCAAAGATCTGAAGATGGGAAGAAATCAGCGGCTATCTTATGTATTAAATATCAAAAGAATATTCAGCACACAATAGGAAAAGTTGCTGGCTATGCAGTACAAGAGAAAGACATAGGGTCCAATAGAGATGTGAAAAAATACCGCAAATACAGAAAATGCTGTTGAAGGATTCCCAGGCACTCGCTGACAATCAGTCTTGATTAGATAGTAATCCTCCCCTTTTCTAGACTGAGCAGCATGCCCATAACTCACAGTGGGCTTCTCCATCTTCTCACTCTTCATCTCTCGGCTTAACAATGCAGCGAGAGGCACAAGATCATGATGACGCCGCCTCTCCTCAACAGAGGCCATGTCTAGCCTACCAGTCTCTCCCTTCGAAACCCAATAATTCGAAGTATCTAAGCTCTTCTTCTTCTGACAAGCATGTTAGAACGCCGTACTTGAAATATTGTCAATTCTGCCTGATCCGGATAAGAAACAGAAAGAACAAAATCCTTCCCACAACAAACACTAAACACTAATTTGCACGGAAACTCTGCAGTTCAAGCCTCTTTCACGACAACTCTGTCCAACTTGATCTGCATTTATCACAAATGAAGTTGTTAAGCCAGGATCTAATGATTAACCAGTGATCTCAAGCAATAAGGAGGTAGAATTCTAAAGTCTATCATAAGCTGTTTTACGCTATAAAATGCAGTCTGTGTCCCCCAAACTTGTTAGCTTGTACAAAAAGGAGGAAGAAACTTTAAGATGGGTTCACACTTCTCACAACAGCCAAACAAAGAACAAGAATTCCAAGCAGAAGGATTAGAATTAGGCGAGTTACCCGCTGGAATGTTCAGGTATGCATCCGGCGCAAGACCAGATACGGATCTGACTGCGACAGTAAGCAAAGATTCAAAGAAGAAGCAAGATATCCACACGGACACGAAACGCGTATTGATGACTAAATATGAACTGTAAAACCCAATAATCTAAAGCTAAACCCAAAATCCCCAACAAAAAACCCAATTTCTTGAGAGAAATATATATTGTGGGCATAAAAAAACGAGAAATCATTGAATATTGTGAGACCAGCCTGTGTCAGCTCCGGAACAATTTCCCCCAACAAACACTCGTGCAAAGATTTTTAGAAGAAATATATATAATTACAAGCCATTTCTAAACCAAACAACAGAATGCCGTGGGATCTCGGTATCTAGCTAGCTTCCACACGCAGAGGGAAGAAAGAAACTTTGCTCACTTGCCTTTGTGTCCAAATCCCACATTCTGTTTCTCCTAAAGTCGGTTGTTTTCACCTCCTCTTTTTCCTCTCTATCCTTTCCCTTTCTCGGGTGGAAAAGTAGCAACCCGATTTTTGTTTCGAGGGACTTACAGTGAGCAACAACTCAGCAGAGGAATTAAGAAATAAGAAAACTCGAGTGGTTGGGTGAGAGAAAGCGAGTTGAAAAAACTATGAGACCAATTTTCGTCGAAAACCAAGTGAGAGGATCACATCGATATTAATTAGATTAGATTAAAACAAGGATCACATCGGTTCAGTTTTTGACTAATTTTTTCAGCCGTTGATCAATTATTTTACGATTAATTTTGAGGGATCAAATAAAACAGATCAAGAATAGATTCTTGATTTAACCAACCAATTCAAATTCGATTTGTACAACACTGGAAATAACTAGTAGGCACCCCCAACTAGCAAATGGAACAAGATTCTCTCATGCTCTCCGTCTCTTGTTCCCTATCCCATCCTCACAAGGAGAAGACTTTTTTATTTATTACCCACCTGCTCTTGTGAGGGCAGGATCTCTCAAGCTCCTGGCTAATAAAAAAAAATAATTAAGTTATTATTATTATTTAAAAATAAAATAAATTTTTACATTTAATCTTATTTAAAAATAAAAATTTTAAATTTTTATTATATTATCTCTTATAGTTAATAAATTTAAATAAAATAACATTAGAAAATGTAATTAATATCAATCAAGTACTATATATCAAATTTTTAAGAACTAAAAAAAATTTTCAAAAAATGCTTCTAATGGCAAGGGGGAGTATGGTCCATAATATATAGGACGTTTTTTTAGTAGTTTGATGTCGTATTAGTGCTTCTATTTTTTATTATGAGAGGAACTTTATTATAAATAAAATTAGAATTCAAAAAGCATTTATTATGTTTTTTTTCAACTATCCCTTATAATTAAATAGTATCATTAAACTAAAAAAATAAACATTAATTATAGAAAATATTTCAATTACTGACATAATTAATAGAATTAGCTAACTTTTTTTAACTGTGTAACTTGATTACCATTTACTTAATCCAAAAAAAATGGAGGAAGTAAAAGATATTTTTTAAAAAAATAATTTATTAATAAAATTTATTATTTCAGTTCTTAAGTATTTTTATTTCTCACTCCCGTATTCATGTGTCATATATGATGATTTTATTTATCTGTGGTGAACAATAAATAGTTTTATTATTGCATTTAATTATAAATCTGACATGCATGATGAAAATATAGTTAAATATTATTTAAAATATTTTATTTGTATATATAATATTTAAATTTTTTTATTTTAATTGAGACAAGTCAAACCATAATCTAATCACAGTCCAACTGTGGTTTGGTTAACTGATAGCCTGATCGATTCAATACGTGGTCTAATTTTAAAAAGATTGGTGGAAAAAAAAAACCAAAAAAGTTCATATGATTAATTTACATAAAATTTGGGAGAGGTAAACAGGAAAAATAATCGATTCTAATTTAATTAAAATAATCAGGAAAATAAAGCTCATGTAGAGAATGCGAGCGTGGGAAATGGTGAAGGAGAGAAGTGACACGTGGCGGAGGACATGCATGTGTTTGCGGGAAAGCAATGATGATGTGGAGGAGGGTGCATGTGTTGGGGTGCGCTACAGCTTTGCAGAGCTGCACTGTACTGCACTATGTGGACCACACTATCTTTTTTTTCTTAAAAAAAATTGACAGCTACGTCCTACAACCCTAAATTAATAAAAGTTAAATTTTTAATATATTATCTAAAAAATAATTAAAATATTAATTCAGATAATTATAAATGAATATTTAAATATTAAATGTAATTTTTTAATTGAAGCACTAGTTTTTATTTATAATTATTTAAATTAATATTTACAATTTATTTATTGTGTAAAAAATTTTATTAAAAATTTAACTATTATTAAGTTAATATTTTAAAACTTAATTATCATTTTATTTTGTGATACAGTCAGCGGACCACATTGTTACTTTAACAGTTTACCAATATTATTATATTTCTTTTGTTTTAAATTATAAAATTTTTTTAAAAAAAATTTATCATTATAAAGTATTTCCTCTATTTTAAGTTATAAAGTATTTTTTAAAAAATTTTATTTTAAAATATAAAATATTTTTAATAATTAAAATTTTATTAAATGCACCAATTTAAATATTACTCTTTTTCTCTACAATTAATTTTTATTCTTTCTCTTTTCAATGTATTAAATTATGAATATTTTTAAAATTTTATATTTTTATTTAAAAAAAATTATTAAGTATATTTAATAAGGTTTATTGGTATATAAAATTTTATCTAAAAATATCTTATAATTTGAGATGAAGAGAGTATAAAAGACTTCAAAAAAATTAAGATTTTATTAAATAAACTTATTCTAATATTATCATTTCTTTTTCTCTATTTAATACTAATTAATTATAGATTTTAAATTATTAAATAAAGTATATTTTTTTAAAAAAATAAAATTATTGAGTGTATTTAATAAAATGTATTGATATGTAAAATTTTATTTAAAAATATTTTATAATGTAATATATAAGAGCATTTATTACTTTACCTCGGTCCAGGTACCCCTGCCTCTCGGATTCGGGGCTTTCCGATTTGGAACCCACACAATTCATTCTGTCACCTTCCATGGACGCTAAAACAACATCAAATTAAGTGTAATCCAAGCAATTTGTATTTTTAAAAAATGTTTTCTATTTAAAAAAAACAAAAAAAATTACGTGGGTAAATGTTTTAGTATTTTTAAAACTGTTTTAAAAAGAAATTATTTTGAAAGTTTTTTTTTTGTTAAAGCACATTGCATTTAGTTATTGTAAACTATTTTTGATTATAGTTAATCACTATCATAACCAGCTATTATTAATCATCGATCACCATCATTTTGGTAAAAATTATTTTTAAATTAACACAATTAAACCGATTTTATTTTTATTTTCTTTTAAAAAATTTAAAAAATTACTTTTAAAAAAATTAAACTGCTTCAAGAAAACTTATAAATAATTGTAAGAATTGAATAGTTACATGAATACAAATTTAATTTTCATATAACATTAACTAAGATTCATTTAAGTATGTTGGATGTATAAATTTTTTGAGAGTTTATATTATATATACATTTAGCTTTTTAAAATTAGGTAATCCATCTTAATTTTTTGTGAGCAAAATGAATAGATTCAACAAATAAAAAATATTCTTTTCTATGAGGTAATGAGGGTGAAAGGCAAATCCCTTTCAATTAAGTTGCTATATAAAATTGAAATTAAAACTTAATATAAGTACTTGCTTAAATGACAAGAGATCCCTGTCACTTACACCAAATTAAATTGGTTCAATTATTATCATCACTTTTACTTAGAAAGATTTATATTAATCAATACAATAAATATTTCAATAATATAATAAAAACATATATACTTTATATTTTCTTTATCCTGCAAAATATGCTTGCAGTAATGGAAGAAATTAAAACATTTTTTTATGGTGTAAATATTGTAAAATGATTTTAGGCATCTACTGTAAAGGCTCGAAGTTTAGTTTTAAATTTAAACTGTATATAATAGCTTAAAGGTTTCATATCTTCAGGCCAAAAAAAAAAAAAGGTTTCTTATCTTCGAGACAAAATCAAAATCACCATGGTATAAAAAAATTATATTATTCCTTCTTTTAAAGAAAATTTTTTAAGGTGAAATGTTCAAAAATATATTATATTTTTTGTTTTTGAAGATGAAATTAATGGGATTTTCTAAAAATACCCGTAATTAGTGTATAATTAATGAAATTTTTTAATTAAGGAATTATATTAAATAAGAGTAAATATAAAAATATATAATTTTAAATATAATTAATTAATTCATTGAATATATAATTCGATTAAAAATTCTTTATAATACTGAATAGAGAGGAGAATTTACGTTTTCTGACTCATTTTTGCATGTAGAATTTTTTTTTTCCAAAATGTAGAATTTTTTAATATTGGACCAGTTAAACGTGAATAATATCCGAAGCTCTGACATCAAAATGCACCCGGAGAACAAAACCAATGTTCCACTGCGTGACTAGTATTATTTGTTTATTTTAATTTTTCACCTGATTTTCATTTATTTGTTTATTACATGTGATTGTACGAGATACGTAGCACTATTGAGCCTATTTTATCATTGAAAATTTTGGTTACATAAGCATCCGAAGCTGAATAATCAATATTTAAAGGCAAATTAAATGAGCAACATAATAATACCCCTGTCAGGGCTAGCTTTATGAACGTGAATGCTGTACTTTATTGACATTTATTTTTTAAAAAACATAATCTTTAAGAAATTCTTATAGTTTTGTTGTGTTTTGTTTTTAATTTTTTTAATTTTTTTTAATATTTTTAATTTTTATAATTTTAAAACGATTGCATGACCTTTATTTTTTAAATTTATATAATTTTTATTTTTTCAGTAATAAAGACTAAAAACACTGAAAAAACTATAAATATTAAAAATAAAACCTGATAAAATTATAGAGACTAAAAATTATATTTTTTCTATTTTTGTCATAATTAACAAACATAACTACATAGTCTCTGTTTCTTTTAGGATAAAAGGACAAAAATAATTAAAAAGTCATTGACTAAAAGTATTTAATAGTCTAAAATAAGAAAAAGTGCACGGGTGTGTGTGAATTTTTTTTCCCCAATACATCTATGACTTAACCATTAAATTTAATATCCACAACCACAACCTAACAATTAACATCATTGATTTTTAACGATTTGATCACTAATGTACTGTTAGTGATCCATTGATGAAGAGAAATTTTAGCTCTTATGAAAAATGATTTGGGAAAAAAAAGTTTCACTTGTTAGGATATTCAGTGTTCTTTCACAAAAAAAAGTACAAAAGTAAAAATATATTTTAACTCTTAAAAACAATTATACAGACAAACGTATTTTCAATTATGCTTAACAATATATAAATTTAACGTCACAATATTTTTTTGGGTAAATTAACCTGATGATATTAAATATTAAATATTGTTATAAAAACTTCGTTAGTCATGGTGGCCTGGCCGATAGCTACTCATAATTATATCAAACAATAATCAAATAATGTCAAATAATATAAGATATTATATGTATGGTTGTATAAAAATATTATTTTGTT